TCTGATTGGGAAGATTTTATTATTCAAATTAAGAAATTCTTTTAATTAATCAGCAACTTCAAAATAAATGAAGCGAAATGAAAGTTTCTCCATTTAAGGTTTCATCAGCAACTTGGAATATTAATTGAAGTCTTTAGCAATTCAAATTTCTTCATTTAAAATCTTTTTCATTTTCATCGTACTCAACAACTTAAAGATGTTGTGATACAAAAAAAAAAAGTTCATCCTGACTTTTGGGATTTCTGTTTATTTCTAAGAATAAGGTAGTTCATACAGTTTAAGCAAACATTATAAATGCATAGTACTGCGGTGAATGTGTACACTGATATATTTAATCAATCTTTGTTAGCTTTTTCCGCTTTTTCGGAAGATTGTTTGCGTTGAAACCACATTAAATAAAAGCTGGGATTTAGCTATCAAATATTCATTTAAGGAATGGATAAGGATGATCAGATACTGGTTTTAGAGTTGCAGTGTATCTTGTCATGAACATGATAAAGTTTGATCGCATCCAACATATCTAATCCAATTTGTACAAAAGCTAACCACTTTGATGGATTTTAATCAACATCCTTCAGATCAATCTATTGAATGCAATGAGCTCTCTAAATTAAGCTTTTTTGGACCATTTTCAAATTTACATTCAAAAGTTCGAAAGCTTGATCAATTATTTCCAATTAAGCTACGCCAATAAATAAACATAAATTCAATTTGCCACAAACACATTATTGAATTTTCATTTGTTGGCAATATTTCAAGCTTCATTAGGATAATGTTGATGCAAATTCAATGAACTTGTCAAACATTTTTGGCAATACAGAAGATCCCAAGAGAAAACGTTTGTGTTTTACCCGATTATTAAAAAAATTTGATGTGACTACAGAATTAAGGTTTTCAAAAAAAAACTTTTTAAAAGTGAATAATGCATTTAAGGGTTGATTTTCTTCTTGATTAGCAAAGAATGAAATCCACTTGAGAGTGAAATGCAAAAAGGTTGAAAACATCGCAGTTGGAACTTGATACTTTAACATTATGATTCATAAATTATTTAATATATCTCGAGAATTGATGTTGAAGTAAATTTCATATCAGCAAGTAGCATAATTATGCAAATTTAATAACTCCATTTGATGTCAGAAGGAACTGTGTCTTTGAAGATATGTTAAACTTTGTAGCATTAATTTTCCGCGAAAGGTGTGTTATTGATCAAACTTATTAACAAATTATGCAAATTCACTCGTACAGAATTTATTTACAAAATTAGCATGTAAATCTTATCAAAACAAGTGAGAACTTTGATTTTTGAACTTACCTAAGTCAATTTACATCTTCAAACTTTATAGAATCTTTGAACTAAATTCTAGCATTGAATCAAATTTGATTGAATCTTCAATATCTCAATCAGTTATCAAAGTACACAATTTAGAAGAAAGAGCTAATCAACTTGTTGCAGATAATCTTTCAATTAAATAACACCATTGACGCATTCTAAATAATAATTCGATCAAATGTAAACGATAAACTTGCGATAAACCCAACCGATAACAAAATTTATGACAAAAACGAATAAAAACTTTATGAATGGAAAAGGTCAACAGAAAAAGCATTGAACATCAGGTGCAGACCTGAATTATAAATAAGCATAACAAGAAAAAGTTCTTGCGAATTTTTAAGCACAAAGAAGCTGAAACCATAAATGAATTTTGATGCCTTGTGAATGATAATCTTGCGCTTAAGTGATCAAAGAATTTCAGATCAAAGTCTTTAAAATTTAGATGCGTCTGTTTCTTTTGAAATAAAGCTTCAATATCGAAGAAGAAAAGTTCAAGAAACAAAGACTGTTACTTGATATTCATCAGCATTTTTGGAGTTCAAGGATGGCATTAAAATTTACATTTAAACAGACAGGCAACAAACAAATTAAAAATACGATATCGCACGTTATTCTATCGATTTTTTTTTCCTTACTTCAAAGTTGTATACACGTGAGGAAAGCATAAGATGCGATTATCAATATTGAACATTGCGAATTGAGGTGAATTAAGATTTACGATTGAGGAAGAACAGAATTCTTATTCTAAAATGAATGTGAGGATATTGTCACGTATCGCACCATACGATTCGTGATATAAAGCAACACATATGAGCATACACAAAGTAAGTAAATGATTTTTATGGCACAATCGTACATAAAACAATAATTGCAAAATTACATCAAAGCTTTTTAATTACGGTTATTAATGATATGTGACGCAAGCATGGTAAGTAATTCTTTGGAAAGTTCGACAGTGTTAATGATGTGAATTTAAACAGAAATTTCAATTTTATAACCCAACACATCCTGAAAGCGGTTCTACAAACTTCCTTTAAAAAAATATCGTATATTATTTTACATTTTTCAACAAGTGATAACAGGTTGCCTTTTCCTGTACACACTTCGTTTTTGGCTCACATCATTTATTTTATTTTATTTCTGAATGTGTACAAATAGCATATAAAAAACATAACGTATGTATAATATGAAGCTTAACGTAACATACAAAATAAACTGCGTTTCATGTTGATATCTATGAATAATATTATCGTAAAATATCAAAATAAAATGATAACAAATGGATTTCACGTACACCTGCTGTGCTTCGAATATGCTTTTGTGTTAAACATATTTTTAAACTTCCTTCCTGACTGCTTTCATTCTTATAAAGAGATTCCTACATATTTTATCGATACGTAATACTTAGATAGATTTCAGGATAGTCTAATACCGGAATATCCGGTCTCGATTGGCTTTAGTTCTTTGAATATTTGAAGATCTCTGAATCAAGGTTTTGTGGGATTTCGTTGGATATTTTATAATTTCTGGATGATAGTTTTATATAGTTTTTGGACTTAAAACTTAAAAAAATTTAATAAAAAGTTCATTGGATCTTTCATTGAAGCAAAACTTAGCAGAAATGGAAGAGATGAAGTGTGTTTATACAAAATTCTCTTAGCAAAAGATAAAATCCTCAAAAACTCATCATACAAACCCAGAAAAAGGCTAATCTCAAAGGTATTTTATAAAAAATGGACTCAAAAGAACTTCCCTTCCATAAATTCATTGCTCATAACTCCGAAAAAGTCCTTGAATATTTCCAAATATTTATTCATTCCCTTTTTCGCCGTCAGGGACTCGAGTTAATTGAAAAACTTTAAATTGCATAAGTTGCTAGACTATGCCAAGGTTGTGTCAAGGAATCTCACTCTAAAAGTGCTTCAATTGAATATTTCAATTTTAAATACAAAGTCAACTCAAAAACTTTGAGCACTTTTAAAAGAAAATCAAACAAGGAAAAGGCAAGAATTAAATTATTCTGTAAATTGCGCATTTGGAATTGCAAAAAGCTTTAAACTACAATTTCATCAGATTTTGTTTTTTGTACAACTTAATCCGTCAATTCCATTACCATATTTCACTTTTAGATTGCGAAAAATTCGATCAATTCTTCTTAATCGACAATTTTTTTTTATTTCCATCTCCATCCTCAATTCAACCTTTTGAATGATATTACACACTCATAAATTTGAAAAGCTGTTTCCAATTCAAATTGATGCTATATTTTGAAATTCAAATTTATCGAATTTATGTACATAAAAAAATTGGCAATTTTCTCTTTGCTAGTTGCTGTTATTTGATATATCAAACATTGTATTTCATACTTAACAAATAAATTGTTGATGCCATAAAACTCCATAAAAGGATCGATTTAACGTTGCCTTCAAATACGTGTTTGGATATTATGCGACAACAAATGGTCACAACATTGAGGATAATATGTCATGTTTTAAGCTCCCCTCATAATTCTCAAATTTCCTAAATCGAGACGCATTATATCCGTTCGTGCATTGGCTTTAGCACATTGGTTTGTACCGATATGGGGTTGTTTATTTGTGGCGTCTAATATTTATTATGTTAGGGTGGTCTATAGCTTTGTTATGCTTAGTAGAAGCTTTAATTGTTGTCTGTAGAGAAGTTTCGGGTTGTACTATTTTCAATCTAGATACATAATTGATGAATGCCCCTCTATCCACGATAATAATTTTTGTTGCTCGACAATGTCATGCAATGCACAAAACCTTAAAAATAACTTTTTTATGAACATTTATGAGATATTCTTGATGATGGAATAAATTAATCCGCAATTGTGAATATGTCTCTTGTGTATAATTCATTTAATGGGGATAGAACAATTTTTTTCCAGCATTATTACATTAGAGGAAAAGAGCGGATAGAAGGGAAATTTTGTGGTGGCATAAAAAACCCTCGTTTATATTAATTATAATGATTATTGTCGAGTATTGTTGTTAACAACGATAGTCGTATTGTTTGAGTTTACATACCACAGAAGAAATTGGTTGATAATTTGTTAATGTTTGAGTTGTAAACTGGGAAAATTCGTCGGAATTTAAATTATTTGAAAAGTTTTAACTTCTAATTTTATCTTTTTTGAACAATTCGAAAGAAAGTTGAACAAAAAATCTAAGTAAATCCACTTAAGTTTTAAAATAAGAGCATTATTGGCAACATTTAAAAAAATATTGAAGAATTCAATAGAGTTGAACATTGAATTCAACAAAATCTATTAACTTTGAAATCTGTTAACCAAAAACTTAAACTTTTAAATTCAAATGTCAAATCTTTTGTTTTCCAAAGCTGAGTGTTTGTAAGAATGTTTTTAAAACTCAAATGAATCTATTTTTGTTCATCGAGTTTTTAATTTAATTTAATTTTTAAGAGTTCTGACTTCATTTTTCATTCATGTATTGATGAAAATTAAAATAATCAAATATTAACCCATTTTAAAATTTTTTTAAAAAACTCAAAAACCTTTAATCCATAACTTTAAAGAAGATTAAACTCATTGAGCTTTCAAATAAAGAAATATGAGAAAACTTAATCGCAGTCCATTGACCGAAGCATGATAAATCATAATTACATATAATAAAAAGTTTCAACTCACCACTCCGTTTTTGAACCTCATGTCCTTCATGTCCATATAAGCGAGCCAAATCGATAGCGATAATTTGTTGTGTCGTAAAGAGAAAACTGAAGAGAAGCGAGTAGAAGCAACTTGATTTCGTCATCTTTAAAGATTCTTTAATCCGTTTAATGTAATAAACTTCTTGTTTGCAGACACAAAATTGACTTTCTTCTTGATATTCTCACTTTTTGACCTTAAGTATTTTTCTTTTTATGATTCTTACAAATTGAGTATATATATTGGCAAATAAAAGTTGTATTCCTTACACGTAAGAACTCTAATATCTTTTGTGACTCAAACTCAAATATTTTTTTTTAATGTTCCTCCACTCTTTATATCTTCCCTTTATGCCTTTATATTTATGTTTATCACTACACAAGGAAAAATGTCAAAAATAAAAATAAAATGAATAAATTTTTTTTTCGTCTGATTTTCTCAATTTTCCTCTTTTTATTTGAAAAAAACTGCTTTTATGTCAGTAATTTTCCACTGAGGAAAAATATTGGCTTATTTAAAGAGAATGTGGAAAAAAGAGAGTTGCGTTGGTAGAAATGATGTGTTTCTCCAACAAAACTCAAAGGTAAACTGTGACGTATCCGTTATTGCATTTTCTTTATATTGAGAATTGTCGCACGTATGCTTAGAGAGGAGAAAGGACTTGTTGGTTTCATTCGAAAATCAACAACGCCTTGAAAATGTTTTGGTATGAAAGAGATGAAGCGATAGACATTTTGTTTTTATTGCGAATTTCGAATTTCCATGCGTAAAATCAAAGACTCCTGATGTGAAAGCTTTGAATTTTGAGTAGATTTTATAGAAAATAATGAATAACAAAGCATTCAAAGCTTTCATGATTTTATGCTTCGTGGAATGTTGCATGAACTTTTCGGAAAATTCCTTGTTGTGGATTGTGTCTTGGCTACCTTTGTTATCCTTAAGCGTGCTTCGTTTATTTTAACGTTTTCATATTGTGTTGAAAATATGCAAAAGTGGACTTATGCGAGTAGATAACTTAGTTTTGACTTATACCCCCCCCCCCCCCCCACTTTTCAGAGTTTCTTTCATTATTTTCTGAAAATTGGCCAGGAACATAGATTTTCATATCTGTTAATCACTTATTTTAACTCGATACAGTCAAGAGCCGAGAACCAAGTAACATCATTTACAAACAAACCCCATTTAAAAATGTTTTTTATATTCACACCGTTTTCACGTGTGAATCTATTGGTTTTGTTCAGATTGAAAAACCAGTTTTTTGAATTTTGTGAGGATATGGAGCAAGATAGCTTAAAATGTTCAGAAATGAAAAGTTTGTGCTTTGAAATTTACATCTTTTGCAAAAAACAGATTTCAAATTGGTTGCGGCATTGCTGAGAAAATCGCAAAATATGCTTTCTGTAAGCAAGCAAACAAGCAAACAAGCAAGTTAATCAGTAAGAAATCGCAATAACGAGACATTGTAGAGACTTCTAGTTTTTTACATTTGATCCGTGCTGCTCTATAGAAGAGCTGTATTGTTTTTAGGCAAGGTAGGAACAGCCGTTGCTTCAGAAAAAGCAAAAAACTTTCCTTTCTTACGAATTTTTCAAAAAAAAAGTTTACTGTGATTTTTATAAAAATTATTTTTTTTTTAAAAAATTAAACTTTGGATGAAAAAATTTTTTTGAGCAAAGAACCAAGTAGGAAATACATTTTCAATTTTGGACTAGGGGCGACCCTAGTCAAAATCAATTTTGTCACTTTTTTCTTCGAGGGTTATTCAAATGAATTGAAACTTTGCATAAATATTCTAGTGCTTAAAACAAATACAAATAAAACATCTTAAAATTTTTCTGAGCAAAGAACCAAGTAGGAAATACATTTTCAACTTTGGACTAGGGGCGACCCTAGTCAAAATCAATTTTGTCACTTTTTTCTTTGAGGGTTTATCCAAATGGATTAAAACTTTGCATAAATATTCTAGTGCTTAAAACAAATACAAATAAAACATCTTAAAATTTTTCTGAGCAAAGAACCAAGTAGGAAACTAGATTTTGACTAGACCTGTCCCAAGTTCATAATTGAAAATGTATTTCCTACTTTGTTCTTTGCTCAAAAAAATTTTAAGATGTTTTATTTGTATTTGTTTTAAGCACTAGAATATTTGTGCAAAGTTTCAATCCATTTGTATAAACCCTCGAAGAAAAAAGTGACAAAATTGATTTTGACTAGGGTCGCCCTTAGTCCAAAATTGAAAATTGATTTTCTATGGTGTATTTTGGTCAAAAAAATTTTTTGGATGTTTTATTTGAATTGACATAATTCTGACATAAAACACATATTAATATTATGTTTTGTAATGCATAGTAAAAAAAAATCGAAATCTAAAATTTCGACTACCCCACCTGAATTTTGTTCATACTCTTCACTGTGGAAACCAAAAAACAATTTCTTTATCTTAAAACACTTGACAAAATAGCGACATCATTTAGGATTAATTACTTTTTAATAATATTTTTACATTTACGATAAAAAGTGGTTCAAATAAGTGTGAAGTATGGCCGAGATTTGGACCAAAATCAGCTATACTGATTCATAGTGTTCCCGAGGGTGACAAAATTCAAACTAAGTGCTTTTGTAGCTGACATAATTATAACATAAATTAGGTATAACTTTTGAACTGTGTCGATATGGGTCTCGGCCGTACTTTACGCCCACCCTTCAATTTTATGCTGAAATCTTGGTCTATCCATAAGACTTTTGATGGTACGGTGTGAATATATCTGCATTGGGTTTCTACCCGATACACTAGTATTTATAAAAATTTGTTAAAGGTCAAAAATGTTGAATTCATTCATACAAAAATTTAATTTGATTTCCAAAAGCTCTGATTTCAAAAGGGAGATTTTTTTTCTTTTGCTTCATTAAAGCTTGATGCAAATTTAAATGTTTTTGGTTCAAGGAAATGTTCATTTGGTGATTAAAAATTAAAGCAGAAATGTTTTTTTGCTAGCTTCATTAAAAATTAAACATTTGATTTAAAAGTTCATTTAATTAAAATCAGAACCTTCTTGGAAATTGCCAGCAACATTGTAGTTCCGTGATATTTGATCAATTAGAGTACATGCTTAGTTTTTGTTGAATAGAATATTTATATTTGAATCACATTATTGAGAAAGAGGAGAAAATGTTGAGGATATGCATTGGCGTAACCAAGATAGAGGAAAGGGTCTAAAGCCAGTGAAGCTTGTAGGGATTGAAATGTTATTTATTTTACAGACATCATTTATTTATGTAAACCTTCTCTTACTTACGACATGAATTATTTGACATTTAAAAATAGTTGTTAAGACTTACTGTACAGGTTTGAGTGTGGGTTTGAAACTATTTAAGAAATTTTAAAAAGAGCTTTATGCGAAAGCAGTTCACATGTAAGTAAAATTCATTTCAAAGTATAAAACAATAGGACAGAAATAAGTTTGAATTTTTAAAGATATTTCGAATTTTTATTCATATTCTTACACAACTATTCAAAATTGATAATTATGAGGAGCCCAATGTGCATTGACAAAAATCAACAATACAAATAAAATGTCGTGTCATGCCTAGACTTAATTTGACATTTATGAATTCATAATAACTTAATACTTTATCCCTACATATGCCTATAGTCGTATTAATGACAGTATTTATTTAAATTGAAATTAGATCGTCAAGCTTGATGTTTTGACCTATGAAAAATTCATGTATGCCTTTCGTGTCACCAACCTATTACCATCGTCAAAATTAAAATAATCACAGTAATCATTTAAATAATAAAATTCTAGTTTAATTCAGAAACATCCAAATTTTCCGTGTAAAAAATCTTGTAGCAACAAAAAATGGAAGAAGAAAAAAAATCAACATCCTCAAAACTATCAAATCGTCTTAAGTATAAGAAGCCTGAATCATCTTCATCAAAAGTCAGTCTAGAAAGTGTGAATAGCAAGAAAGAATCTGATAAAAGCAAAAAAGATTCAGAAAAACTCAAAAAAGAATCAAAAGTCGCCTTAAAAGAATCAAAAGCCGCCTTAAAAGAGTCAAAAGTCAGCATAAAAGAATCAAAAAGCAGCCTTAAATCATCAAAACCAAAAGAACCAAATGAAGAGAAGAAGTTTCTTAAGTTCAAAAAAGCAACATCTTCTGCTACAAGTCATCAAAAAGACAAATTAAATAGAAGTTCTTCAGAAACAATTTTTGATCGTTCTAAACCAAATATTGCATCCATGAATGCTGACGATAGTCTCATGTACGGTGTTGATCGCGTAATTTGCTTCTGGAACTATGTAAAGCAATCTATGAATAAGAAAGACACTTAAAAAGAAAGAATTTTACTTCATTGAATTTATATTCCAAAAACCGTTAAATAGTATTCAACACGTGTTGACAAACGTGTTTTAAAATTTTGAATTTTTTAAATTGCAAACTTGAATAACGGATAAAATAATTTTGAATTTAGTTCAACGAAATTTCAATCAAAAAAACATTTTTTCAAAGATTAATTAATTTTACCAGAAATACAGCATAATTCACCAATAAAAGTGTCAATAAACAATAACAACAGCAAAATACAGCAGAATCAAATTGAGAATAAATCAAAATGGACCTAGAAAATGGTAAACTTAAGATTGAATGATTTAACCAAACTTTTCATACATTTTGTTTACACTTTCAGAATTGCTTAATTACATTAAGAACAGCCTTAATGGATCACCGGAAAGTAGTGTTAAATTCTTAATTAAATCATGGAATTCATCTTTACTGGATACGAACGTCAAATATGAGATAATTTTAAGGAATTTCGAGAAAACATTTTTAAATCAACTTTTAACAGCCAAAAATTATGATTTAATTAAGGAATGTCTTGATCTAAAGTTCCCGCAAAGCTCTGTGAGTAATAATGTGATTAAATCAGTGCTGAATAGTGTAAAAAGTATATTAAAAGACCAGACAACAGAATCTATAGAATGTTGTACAACAATTATGCTAAATGAAAGCTATAAAGAGTATTTTAAGCAAAACTTGACAACTTACAGTAAATTCATTGGATCTACATTAACAAGCTTCGATGAAATTAAGTGCAATAAGTATGAGATAATAGATTATATCGTCCGTGAACTTCATTATTTCGCAAACTTGAACGATTTCTCAAAGCAATTCAGACAGAATGTTCTATTACAGCTGTATAAAGCAGCAAATAAGACCGATAATGTTAATAGTATGTGGAACTTGATTAAATCAATATTTTTCTCACGATCACTATCATTAAATGAGGATTCAGACGATGAATCCATTAAAATATTCAGCGATAAGGAAGTGACCTATGAGCAAATGGAAGTGCTCATCGAATCATTCATAATATCATTCAAATCTGATTCGTTAAAGATTGTAAAGTTTTTAAATCATTTTAATGAGAACGTATTGTCAAAGTACGAGAGCAACAATGATGAATATCTAATTCACGTAAAAATGCTCTACACAATATTAAAGAAACATGATATAGAAATAGCGGCTTTAAAAAAACTAGAATCAACCTTTGAAAGCTTTTCACTGCAAATAATAGATCGCGTGGAAAGTTCAATTAATGAGATGAATTTATGTGAATATTTTCAAGTGCTATCGACGATTATCGCGTACGATCCATTCATTTTTGTTGATAATAACATGATTTATAAGCTAATTGCTGAATGTATGATGAAGGAGAAATGTGAAGAAGATATGTCTAGTTATGAATTACTTCTATCTACTGTTGTAAAGATTTTCGGAAAGGATATCTATCAATTTATTAAGAAACTATTGTCTGCGATTAGTTTAAAGCTTGTTGATTTTGAAATTCCAAAGAAAAGAAAGAGGAAGAATTCAATTGAGCCAAAAGGAAGTGCTAAGAAGAAGATGAAGCTTAATGATGGATGTCCAGCATCAGTAGAGAGCTTCCATATCACTAACATTTGGCCAAACTCCATTAAAACCCTTTTTGATGAAATATTTGCAGACATAAATGTCAATCAGACAACAAAATTATGGAAATATTTAAATGACTGTTTAAGGGACATAATCAGCAACTTGAAGGATTCAATTGATGAAAATATTCTATTTAAAATTGACTTTATCTCATCCTTAATATGCCAATTAGTCACTTCCAGTAGAATTCATGAGCATCTTGTTTACAAGTCGTCGGAGATTTCAGATATAATCGACGACTTTAACGACGTACAGCACAACTTTTACGAGACAATAATAGAAATTGAATATAATAACCGAATCATGAACGCGTTCCTCAAAATGTCTTATGATTATGAGAATTTTATAATGATGTACTTTTATCATTACGATGAAGAAGTTAAAAGTGAACTTGATCCAATTTTTATAGCTGACAAATCAAGAATAAAGTCCAGTGAATGGAAAATTATTCAGCAAAGAATTAATAATTTTGGAAAAACTGAAGAAAAGAGTTATTCGAATCTTTTAATGCTCCAGCATCTTATCAAAGGAAAATTGTTTAAAATATCAAATCACGATGACGATAAAGACTTCCTGCAAACCCTTTTAATTAATAAAGAGCAGATAAATTTGTTATTAGATCAAAAGCATATTCGTCTACATATTTTCAATCTCTTAAATGATGAATCAGCAGTCACAGACTTGATAGACATTTTATACTCAAAAATTAATGATGATAAGGAGAAACTTTCCATAGTTTTGAGCATTGCTAAAAATAATTCAAAAATGCTAGAATCACTGACGAGTTTAATGCTGAAAAACAACGACATTAATGATTCTATTGAAGTAATAAAGACTCTGCCGATTGCGTATATGACGCAAGAAATCAAAAAGATGATAATACAGAAATTGCTACTTGATACAAAAGCAGGCACGACAGATGAAAATTGTTTTGATTTGATAATCACATTTAATAAGATCTTTAAAAATGATGGATATAAGAATTTCTTTAAAGATTTCACTCTCATTTCATTGATTGAAAGTCTTAGTGACATTAATACGTTCAAGACTGTTTATGAGATGATTTTTAGAACCAGTGTTAAGAAAATGTCTGCAGACGTGCTTAGCAATCTAGAATGGATTTTAAAAGAAAGCAAAAATAATGAATTAATTGAAATTTTAGCTACAACAATGTGTGACATAAACCTTTCAGCAACAAACGAATGTAGTATTGATAAGATAAACAATTTCAAATTGGAAGTGATTGACAATTTATCATCAAAACTTAATATACAGAATATTGTCAAGGAACAGCGTTTATTCTGTATATTTTCAAGGCTCTGCAGTCAAAACATGCAGATTGTTAAAGATGAAACTAAGGAACATCATTTGAATCTGTTAAATAAGTTGCTAGGATCGATGGTAAGTTTAAATTTAATTTTAAATCCAACGATTAAATTTTATTCACCTCAAAAATCCGTTACAATTCAAATTTTAAATAAATTCACCTCAAAATCTGCAAAAAAAATCCGTTACAATTCAAATTTTTTTAAATTCACCACACAATCTGCTAAAATTCAAAAAAATCGTTAAAACTTAAATCCAAAATCGTTAAAATTCTTAAGTAATCAAAACCATGATATTTATCTTAATCTTAATCACCTACAAACAGGCAAAATCTACAGCAGCAGATAACACGATCGAATTATTCATGTTAGCCCTGAAAGATGCCAAGAAATTAAATCTTAATGATGAAATTAAAGGCGGGATTGTTAAGGCATTAACAAAACATCTGCGCAATGTTATTGAAGATAAAATGTTAAAAGCAGAAGAAAACGAAAAGAAGTCCAATAACGTTGATAGAGAAAAAGATTTAATAACGACATTGAGCTCATTTAAAAGTAATTGTCGCGAAGAATGTTCACAATTTTTACATAAACTTCTGAACGGAAAGGACGCAGTGGTTACAGATAAACAATTAATCTATAGCTTTATGATTTACGAAATATTATTTGAGAATTGCGAGAAGAATGAGAAAAAGGAGAATACAACATTAGTCAAAAGCTATATGAAGCATTGCGATAATTTAGTCATGGTACGAGGCAAGATAACAGAAACTGACCTCCTGTGTTCCATATATTCGACTCATATCTCTATGATGAAATGCTACAAAGAGAAATTAAATTTTCTTATTATTGATGACATTTTCAACTTTCACATTGATCAACGTCATCAACCAGCATCGGAATCTGTTGAAGATTTTTGTAAATTTTATGATAGTGTTGGACAATTTTTGTTTGTGCTTGGAAACTTCCAACAGAATTACTTTAAATCAAGAATCCCACAATATTTCAAGGCTTACAATAAGTTTCTAGAGGCAATTTACTTCTACAAGGCTGATGATAAAGAACAATTCGATGCAAAGGAATCATCAATGTTGTTAAGGCTCACATTACAGCTAGAAAAGTATGTAGATTAGTATAAAGTGACTCATCTGTTTTCTCTCAAATTTTGTCACATTTTTTATAGTTTTACAAAAAAAGATTAGACACCTTGACCATAAAATTTGAATGAGTGATAATAGCCATTTATTTTGAGTTTATGGATGGAATTTACTCACATTAATCTAATGAGTAATTTTTTGGGGGGCTTAATGATCATGTCGCAGCGTTGATTTATAAAGTATAAATCTTGATTATGGCTTTAATAGCCGCGTATTTATTTTATATTTGACATTCTTTAAAATTGCAATTTTCAAACGGTTTTTTTTCAAATATTTATTGACTGTTAATTTTCAAATTATTATAGCCGTTCACTTTCAAATATTTTTTAACTGGTATCTCATGCAATTAAATCCACTTAATAATACAAAAACTTTAAGATTAATGTAGAATTTCATCAAAACAAAATAGTAGCCACGTTACTCATTCATCCAATTAAAATGAGCAGGAACTTCTCTTTCCAAATTTAATTATCAAAAAATTTTCTCTTTATTCTCTACAGCATCATGAAAATGCTGATGAAACTTCACAGCAATTCATTCAGTATCATTTCACCATACATAGTCTCGTCGATCGTAAATGTCTTTATCAAAAATCCCAAAATGCTCAATGTTGGTGATAAGGTGAGATTTTCTATCTGTAAGATGTTGTTGTCAGTCATTAACTTGCAAATCTTCTCGTATTTGTTTTTTTTTTTTTATTATTTCCTACAGTTTAAGGTGAACATCAAAAATATTTGTTATCAACTTTTGTCAACATTTGATGATAAAACTCGTAAACATATTTGTGCTGTCGTTGATGAATCGACAAGAGATGTCTATGACAATTTGTTCTTAGAATTTAAAAGAAAATGAAACAAGTAAGTTCTGAAATTAATTAGAAATAAGTAACAAAGTTTTGTATAGATACTGTTTAAATAAATTTTTTCATTTTATTGCCTTTTTCTCTTATAAATACCTTAATCTCATATCATTTCTAATCTACTAAATAATTAACGACTACGTATTGCTTCTGGAATATTTTGCGCATTTATCCCGTAGAATGTATGATTTTTATTTTCATTTATGCATAGGTCATTGACTCAGGAACGGGTTAAAAGTTTACTTAAAGTTGTAAAATCCAATATTTGATATGTAAATTATTGGAAAGTTGATGTGTACATTTCAAATATTGTTGGATCGTTAAATTTTTAAATATTTTTTGACCGTTATTCTTCCAAAATGTCTTCTTATTAAATTTAAAGTCCGTCAGTAATCAATACCAATTATTCTTATTTTCGATCGAGAAAATGCGCATCTGTCGCTCACAAAGGGTCACATCTAATCTAGTATCATGTGTAAATTATTATAATATCGCGATCACAACCATCTTTATGACTTTAATATGTACAATTGAGAAAATCTCTCGATCATTGCTCGCTAGCTAGTGGATTTATAAAAGTTCTCATCATTATCTCTCAGTTCATACTCATTTAAATCTTTCTTTTATGTATTTAAAGGATGAGTTTTTAAAAGAAGAAAAAAAATATTAAACGACATGAAATCCCTGATAATTTACAAAATCATTCATTCTGATGATAAGATGACATACTACTCTATAATGTTACCAAAAAAATTGTTCTTATCACTAAATAGAGAAAATTGTATTTTTATAATTCTGGCACTTCTTGAACTCTTTCATTTATAAAAAAAATTTTTTTTTGTAGCTGTTGGGGGGAACTCGATTATCGACTTATCGGTACAAATACCTACTTAATTAATTTATTGAGTTGTGAAACGTGCGATTTTTGGTTTAAAAAGGTTATTTCATTATTACTTAAAGGAATCACGTAAAATTTATCTTTAGAAATGTTAATTATCAATCGTCTGCGATCTAATCAGTCACTCGAGTGTCTCATCCATGAAGGAAAGTTGATGTTGTTGATTCAATAAAGTTTTTCGATCCTTCAATTCCTTGATTTTCGGTCATTGCAGCTATTTGGACGAAATACAATATTATTAATTTTATTGTTCATATACAGCAGCATTTTTATGATGGCAATAATCAGCGATTAGAGTTGTTACTAATCGAGTCACATTATAAATCAATTGGTCGTGTGACAAGTAGCATAAATCCATTGTAATCAATCATTTGCGGAAAGAAGAGATTCTAAGTACTTTGATTTTTGTACTTGAAAGGAATTGCTATCATTTTTGGATAGAAATAGCACTCAAAATACTACAAATATTTCGTGATTTGACAGAAATAAGTCGTGCATCATTAAAAATGCCTTTTTACATTTTTGTGTCACTAACAGCTTGTTGACTATGTGAACTGTAGCTAGAATTTGATTTTGATACTTAATGAACTTTAATTTGAACAATTTTAGCAAAAATAATATTTTATTTGGATATAACCGATATAACATAAATGATTCTTTCGAGTGAGAATCGAACCCACGTTCTTACGACTTTAAGACGTCTTACTAAGTTCCTTAAATTGCTTGTAATCTTGGCAGAATGTCAACTTGAACTATTAATCACAATTTAATAAGTTTAATCTTTTGGAAACTATAAAAGCCACCGTTCATCGGCCTTGTATGTTTATCAAATAAAGGATAAATAATCCCTAAATCTACGACTCAGAATATTCTAATTAGCAACTTTAATGAAAATTCACATAAAGAACACCTAAATACTCTCCTGATCACTGATAACTTTTTATGACTAATCCAATTACACAGTTGATTTATTGACCGTGAATATGCGATAATATTAGGTAATAACAAATTAATGTCAGTAGGTTTATGCTTACCAATATATTGGAGTCCAAGCATGATTGAAAATCCAACAAAGATACTCAAATAAGGAATCATTCCAGATCGATCTTTTGACAAGACTTCGAAGAAGATCACATACAACAAAGTACCAGTTGCCAGTCCTTGATTAATTTTGTAAATAAAAGTTATAGGAAATTAAATATTGGACAATGTCAGTTAATTAAAATAATGATTTACCTTGTAAAATGATGTTTGGTACTTGCAGCGTCTCTCCATATGAGCCAGTCGTTAATATAGCACCAACCAAAATTCCTGTAAATAAAAAATTGTTCATTGTCATAACATTTCAATGAGAAATGGAAATAATTGAGATCGGGTCATTCACATATGACGTCTAAAATTTATGGGGGGGGGGGGGTCTGAGATCTTGTGAAACTACAAACAGAACTAAATTTTATGTTACAAAAGTGATCTCAATTTTTTTCATCGACATCATAAGCAAACAACCCCAAATGGAAAAGAAATAACGTACCTAATGCACTGACAATTGAATATACAAAAACATAAATGAATGCGAGCCAAACTTTAGTTTTTTGGACCATCAATTCAACGCCAATACAGAATGAAATGACGAATTTATGAGCACAAACAGCTGCAAACATGTAATACACTCCAATTGTATCTCTTTGTAATCCAACTGCGAAGCCTTCGAACAATTCGTGAAGTGATAAAGCAAGAACAATCAACAATCCACGAAGTGATGAAACCAGAAGATCTTCATCTGCTGAGTGAGGAACCGGCATGTTGTGAGAATGTCCATGTTGATTGTGTGAATGTGTATGCTGATTATGACTGTGGACGTGATGGTGATCACCTGTATGATTTTTTTCTGGTATTTGAACTATTTGACCTTTCTCGACAATTGTATCAAGTGCCTTCAAATCATGTCCATCTTCTAAAATAATTGATCCACGTCTTGAGTTCGAATTAATTTGTAGGCATCCGTTGCTATCAGAAAATCGTCTATGGACACTGTTTCTAGCACTAATTCCACGCATAAATGCTTCTGCAAAAGTTTCTTCTTCTGGCTTCATTGTGGCAATGCTAACTTCTGATTTTTGCAATCCTTGTTGATATCTGTGCAGATAATAGTGAACGATCTCTTCAATCAAGTAGATCAAGAAGAAGCCAAACATCATTAAACATTCTCCAAGACTTATATGCAAATTTGGAATCTTTCCTTCATGCTGTAAAAGTGCTATTTCACCATTAATGTCTGGTAACAGATGCAAGAATGTTGTGGCTAAAAGAACTCCACCGCCAAAGCATAGCAGTGCTGACACAACTCTTGATGACTTCTTATTACTCTTACTATCCGGATCAAATGGCTCTGACCAGTTGAAAACTTTAGCAAGTTTAAATGGAACAATACCAAAAATTAATGACACGAGGAATAGTGCAGAGCCGGAAACAATTTTGGCCATAAGTGCTCCATCTTCTTCATATTCAGTCATATTGATGCACAATAAATTAAATTCCTTTCACTCAAAAAAAAAAATTCTTAATTATCTCTTCCTGCACTATATTATTCTCTACACTCTCTTATTTTACTGTGCCTAACGTGTAGACTTAATTAAAGAAGGGTACACACAAAAAAAACTTTTATTCTGATCGCGAAGACGAATTTGATTGAACTAAAATCATTTTCTCTGCTTTTAAAGCTTTATAACATACAAATCGAGTGAATGGAGCGATAATAACAAATATCACGAGCAATTGAGAGTTTAATGAGAGAACGTACTCAAAAAAACTCGTATGTGACTGATTACATTCCGTCTGGGGAACCTTACAATGGTTATCTAAATGAATGAGCCAAGCAACAAGGCAATATAATTAAAGAGAAAAGTGAGACACGTGAGAAATTATAGACAATGATAAGGACTACGTGCATTACTGTTTATTTCACAATAAGTATTAATCTATTGACTACTTGTACTCATATATCCAGACAGAATCGACATCTCCGTCTGATAACACTCTAGTGGGTGATTTATTTGGAAGTGGAAATCTGCAAGCAATTACTGTCGAGCCTTTTTTCAATTCCTTATCAAACTTGTCTTCTAGCTTAATCATCATCTCTTCTACGCCAAAAATCACACAATAATTGTAGCTGTCGAGTGGATATTTCCATAAATCTTTCCTAAAGAATTTTGTGTTGCTTGATGTTCCTGATCGGAGTGATGCAAGGCGAGAATAGAGGACTAGCCAATAATTAAGTTCTACTCCGTCTGATTTGTATCCATTCTGAAAATATTATTGCTTAATTATTTGTGTCTTCTTAATAATATAAATGTCTTACCTTAGCAGTTTGAATGACAATTCGTCCATCTCCACTTCCTATGTCTAAAAGTCGATTGTTCTTGACTGGATTTTTTGGCAAAACAGCAAGAATGTTTTGCAATTGCTTATCTGTGGCAGGTATAAAAGGCAGGGTAAATCTCCGAAATGCTGGGGATATGAATGGGAAGCAGACGACCGAAATTCCAACAGCAACAAGTCCTGATGCACCAATTAACACTTTCCCAGTTAAACTCATCTTTTTGTTGTTGTTTTGGTTCGGTGCAGTTTTATTTTCATCGAAATTTTCCATTTTTACTGTATGACATGAACTGTTTTATGGATTTAGATATAAAGTTTTGTCCCTGCTGTTCATAACTTTGTTAACTTTAGCCAGAAACTTTTTAAAATCTCAGAAAATTTAACTTTTATAACTTTAAGAAGTTTTCAGTGTTTATAAATTTTTTGAAAACCTTTTAAAAGTTTTATTTAGAACCTACGAACAGTTTTATATATGCAGGCATAAGCTATGTATTCTATGGAACACTTTTGTTGTTATCATTTGCTGTGAAGATCGCCTAAAAATATTCTAATAATTTAATGAAAATATGGAGGAAGTAGATTCAATAATTCTTGGATCATTAAAGGAAGTTGGATGCGATTTTGATGATGATGTTAAGCTTAAGAATTTGAGTCCAGAAGAGATTTACAAGTCGATAAGTATATTGTGCAAAATTATTCGACCAGAAACTCAAATTCCAAAGTCATTGCCAGCTCAAATGGCACAAAGATTCTCTTGTGCATCTCAATTGGTCGATACTTGTAAATCACTAGGATTTAATGGGGATCTAGGATATCAAACCATATTGTACTCTAATGTGACTGAATTGAGACGAGTTTATATGTGGTTGATTGAACGTCTCCCAAAAAATGAGGATAAGACTGACTCGTTTCAACAGCCAAGAACTTTAAGCAAAGCTCAAAGAATAGAAAATGAGATCGCGAGGAAAATTGCAATGGATTTAAGAAAGCCTTGGGTAACTGGATTCTTGCAAAAGCCATCAACAGGGCCGTTTTCACCAATTGAATTAGAGAAACCAAGTCTATCAAGTGATGAGAATATCCATGAGTACGAAGAGAAGTTTCAGCCATCAATTTTTCATCAAACTAGGAATCTAATTCCTTCAATAATCCATTCACATGACATTGACTTGAATAAGAAGAAATTAATCAAGTCTGAATCAGTAGAAATAGCTAAAAAATTGAGAACCAGCTTGATCAAATCGACACAATCTTTAAGCTTAGTTCCATCATCCTCAAGATCAACTTTATCATCACATTCGAATATTCCACAACTTGCGACAACTGAAAACACCCAACAGCAAGCTCCAGTTATTAAATCACAACTTGAAATCCTTTCCGAAAAAGTTGAAAATTTAAAGGAAAAAGTTGATGAGCAGGAAGACATTTATAGGCAATTGACAAGTGATAGAAATGAACAATTAAAGCATATTGAGGAAGGGAAGGAGAACATTGAAAAAGCAAAGGTTAAAGGAAAGCTTAAAATGCAAGTTGGTATGCTGCTTGACAATCCAGAAGAGAGCATTGAAAAATTACAACAGACACTAGAAATGGCTGTGCAAAAGAGACAAACTTTAAATGCGAAATTCGAGGCTCATAAAATCCCATTAGAGCAGCAACTTGAATCGTTTGAAGGAACAAATTCCAATAAATTACAGAAAATACAGGAAACGCGCAATAAAGTAAAGAGCATTAAACAGACAGTCAGTGATATTCATGAAGATGTCAATAATAAGGTTCAATTGCAGCAAAGTTTACAAGAAGAATTGAGTAAAATGAAGCGAACGACGGAGAGGTCTGCCTACACATCACGGATAACTGATATAATTAAGAGCATTAAGAAGCAAAATTATGATATAAATGAGATTCTTAAAGAAACGAGAATGCTGCAAAAATCTATTAACAATATTGAAGGTCAGCTGCAAAGACAGTTTACTGTAACTGAAGAATTGGTTTGGACGAAGGTATGAAATGGTTTTGGTTTGTTCAGAAGTGATGTTCATCGACGTTCTCAATCAGGGTTCGCCACATAGATGAGCTTTTCTAATCCATAAAAATTCAAACTCTGAATCTTCTTAAATGTTGATGGACAACCCTACTGAACACTCAAATCTAAAATAAATTAAGAAATTAATTACTTTAATTTTTACAACATGCAGACAGCCAAGCAAGATGAATACTCAAAACGAGCTTACAAATTATTAATCTCATTGCACACAGAGTTCAGCGAACTAATCAGCCTGATTGAAAACACCGGAACGATACAGAGAGAAATAAGAGAACTCGAAGACCAAATTGATAACGAACGACAACAAAATGTTCAACATAAAATCGACCAGATAACACGGGATTTACAAATGATCGAAAATTCAGGCTATAATGATAGCAGTAAATAAGTCAATTATGATTCCACCCTTTTTTTTCGTCAAAACTAATCCTCCTCTCCTTTTGTTCTCGTTTATTGTTACATAATTCTACTATGGACTAACCTTTGGTAATCTGCATATGCATTGCTATATATTATTATTATTATTACTATTATTATGATGATGGAAAGTCAAAAAGTCTGTTGCCAATTTTAAAATTGCATTTTTATTTGTTTTGCATTACGAGCAGTTCAAGCCTAACAGTCTTTTTGGCTCAGCCTCTTATTTATTGTGTGTCGGAAAATTAAAATGTGGAGCAAGTAGGCAAAATGTAAAAAGCATAAAAATCATAAAAGCAAATAAAATTGAGAATAATTGACTTGTCTAAGTGACATTCCAATAAACGTGTAAATGTGTGCTCATACTCAAAAATTGTTGATCAGGTAGCAAGAATGCATGGTTATTTTTGTCAAAAAGTAGTAGTAATTGTAAATAAGATCCTTTTTTCTCTTCGTATTATGGTAATTAACTTACCTACTATTTGTTTAAAACTTTTTGACGTGCTGAGAGAAAAGTGACCTTACCATAACAGTCAACAGTCTTTTACATGATGCCACACTAATCAAATCGAGTTTTTATTTTCGTGTGCAAAAAAAAATTAAATAAATTAAATTTAATCAAAGATTATTCTGTGATATTAAAGGAACAAGTAGTTTAAATCATGGTGCAAATAAAGTTTATTATTGTCCTATTATTTATAATGCAGACGAAAAGTGAATCTAGAACTTTTAGCACGAAAGTGAAATTTAATCAAAAAGTGATAGCAAAGAAGGAGATATCAAGTTTAAATCTAGTTAATGATGAAAGTATTAGCAAAATTGAAGCAAAGAAGTGTGACGAGTTGTCAGCACTAGTGCTTAATGATATTTTAGGAGCTGCATTTAATTCAAGGTGTGTTTTTGGTGGTCTAACGTGTCATAGGTGCTAGGTTCGAACATAGGTTTATGTTAAGTTTTCAAAGAAATATTGAATGACAGTTCAGGATTTGTCCTGGATCGAATATTAGGCTAGTTAAGTTAAGATATTGAAGCTTTCAATTTCTAGTTAAATTCTAGAGTCTAGGATTGAAGTATTTGACACTAAGTTTAAAAATATAAATAGTCACGCAGAAACATTGGATTGTAAATCACGTCTTGATGATATCCTCAAGCCTTAGTAATGTGCAAATCATAAAAACAGTTAAGATACAATAACTTTCTTTAAAACTGACCTAAGTACCTAGTTAACCTTGACACATAATTTTTACTTCAATAAAAAAATTTGGTTAACTCCCAAATCTAATGTCATACCCAATTTCATTATAGATACATGAGTATAGAAGAGCCAATGTTAGAAGAAGATCCAGAGCCTAAAAATATAGCTGGTAAACGAGGAGCAAATGACTTCATGCCTTTTTATGTTGACGATACATATGCGATGGAAATTAGTGACATGCCAGCATGGGAAGTGCAGCATTTAAAGAATTCAACAGAAAATGGAGAAACAGAGGAAGTCACATCCAATGAAAGTCAAAAAAGAGTTCAGCGATCAAATTTAAGAAGAAGAACAGACTCAGAAGGGATTAATAGTGGACATCAGCAAAGTAAAAGACCTTGGGAGTGTGAGGCAAAAATAAAATGGCTAGATCTTGGATATGATTACTATCCAAGATACTTAAGGACTGTCGAATGTACACGACATTCCTGCTTTTATGGACATTTCACATGTAAACCACGATCCTTTACAGTAAAGATCCTCAGACGAAGACGAGGTGAATGTGTACAGACAAAGAACAAAATTGGAATTGAAGGATTACATGGAGATTTAAAAGAACTTTGGGTATGGGAGGAGAGAGCTGTAAATTTCTGTTGTGATTGTGCAGCAAAGTAATCTTTAGTAAACCTTATTAAAAAATTGAACTTTCTTGAAGAAAGTGATTCCAATGTACTCATAAATATCCAGTTTGATGTCCATAAAATAATTAATTCGTGTAATGTTTCCTGCAAGGATTAATCCAAAACAATTAATATAATTCTGTATAGCAATCCGTAGGCTTAAGTTTATTTTAGAGGCAATTTGTAAATAATTTTAATTACATTAAAAAGGCAAATAGAAATGACATAAAATGAAATATTTGATTTATTTTGTTACCTGTATCTCGTATTATCGATACCTTATTTAATATTTTATAGCTTTTCGGGGAAAAAGTTTTCGGCAGTTTAATTTACTGCCGGTCTACAATTCTTATTGGAATTTTTCAGTGTCTGATTTCGGATTCCAGAATAATTGAGAGTTATTGGATAAAATTATAAGATGAAGACTTAAAGTCATTAATTGGGAAAAGCAGTTTAAAAGTCGTAACATGCTGTCTTTAATTCAGTTAAATCAAAAAGAGAAACTGCGCAATTAAGTAATATCATGAGCCGGCAATATTCTAGTGTTGATAGCCCCTCAAACTAAAGCAGACTTCTCAAAATTAAGAGCTACTTACAGCTTCACATTGTCTTGAATATTTTTTATGAGTATGAAGCTTAGGTCTACTTTCTGAGAGGGTTTAACTAGTTTGTATGAAAAAAATCATTTAACAAATGTGGGGACATGAAATTAAGTGTCATAAAATTTTAATCTTCTTCATGTATGTCATGTCATGTCATTAATGAACGATTCTATTGACTTACTTATTTTAGGGGTCGTTGGCTGATCAAAGGATAAAACAATATAAATTCGTTTAAAATCTATTGTTCCGAAAGTATGTAAAACTTTCTTTCGTCATAACTGAACGGTTCTCAATAGTACGCTTAGTACACAATTTTAAAGGGGAATCTCGTGGTCTTCTAACTCGAATTTCTGTTTACAATCGAGCTGGTCAAAAAATTAGTCTGAAAGTGAAAATTAGAGAATTAGTGAATGTTAAAGCTTATTTAAAAGTTTCAAAAGTAACATAAATATACAATAATTAAGTGGAACATAAAGGATAGTTGCAACAGTCCAGCTACTATCACAAATTAAGCTAAATCATTTTGCACGAGAATTTTTCATCATTACAACTCAATTTATCAGGTGAGTCACAAGTTAAATACAGTTTCTACGACTTGAAAGTATTATTTGATCATATGAAAAATCAAGAAACGAGTTTATGAAATTAATAAGCCACAGACGAAGTAAAATTTTCATCTTATTGATTTTCTGATCGTTAAAATATTTTTGTGTGGATTCTTCTTATTCATTAGCCAAATAAAAAGTACAAAAGTCTAAATGTTACGTGATTTCTCCAAAGAAGATTTGAAGCACGTGAACACAAAAGCATGTTGTTGTGTATTTTTACAGAGTGATACACGCTGTCAATAACACAAAATGTATGTAGAATTGCTTCAATGACCTACTGACTTAATACTTTATTTTTTGCAAACGCATAAGCACTCCTTTTGTTCGCCAGATTCTTTTTATTCTGATGACGTCGACGTTTTGTAACTTTAAGTGATTCCATTTCACAATCTAGTATGATTCTCTTATAATATTTATCGTACTTTGGATGACGTCTGACAAAAATTGCCCAGTAAGCAAATTCACCAAGAAATGCACATATACTAATTAAATATCCAACGCCAAGTGCAACGAGAGCACCAAAGAATTTCTTTATATCCATAAGAGCCTCTTGTGGTGGCTCTTCAACACTTGATACGAAACTTTGAATTGCGTCATTGAACCACTTGTTAATTAATCCTCCTTGTGCAAGCCTCAGAATAATCTCATCAATTTTCTCTTTCAATGGCGAATTTTTATCCAATCCAATGCTTATCGGCATATTTATAGCACATTCATCCATTATGTGTAGTTTTTGTGATAATTGACTTTGCTTCATTTCATGCTGAAATCTCAATCGTCGTAGTTCCTCTAAACTCTCAAAATATGCAAATTCGCCTTTTTCCACTTGCATTATCTATAAATAGAAGAATCAGAATCACAAAACAAAAATCTATGCAACATGCTCAATAAAATATCATTAACTCACACCATCCTCGGCGACATCAATATTTTCTAATTTACTGCCAATTTTCTGAGCTATTGGATCGGACGAAGTGATAAATAAGTTTCTATTCTGTTCACCCCACGCGCCGCATTTTATTCGACTATTCGCCAGTGTCGCTAATTGATCGATAGTTAATCGTGGCTGTGGATTTGCCAAAATTGATGTTAATGATGCTCGATAAGCAACAATCAATAAAACACAATAGAGCCACCACCATCCAGTTAATAATCTTATAGACCATCGATTTGGGAGTGCTGGAAGTGAAACCAGTAGAATCATTGAATATGGATACATTATGCATGCTGAAAAATCATCAAAGAGATCCTTTACTAAAGTTTTCTTTCCTGTTGCTGAGTCTTTTTGGACATAATTTTCGTTCTCTATAAAAATGTAACAATTTGAAAACAGCCAGAATACTATAATGATAAAAAATAGCGACAAAAATGCTCCAATCCACATATTCAGTGTAAACGGAAGTATTAGTGCTTTCCAGGAATTATCTCCCAAAATTTCTGGTGTGATAAATGTCAAACATTGTATTGTGTACGGATATGACAAGTCCATAACTTCAAAATTGTACAATGTATGATATAAATCTGCTAAAGCTATGTCTGCACGTGCTTCATTCATTTCTCCTAATAAACCGGTAAAATTTCCATCAGCAACTCTATGTCCCCATTTTTCAAATTCACTGTCAATCGCCTCATAAAAATTTAAATTAAAATTCATTTTCTGTCCAATCGCATTTATCAACTCAATTTCAAGTCCAGTATAATGAACTTGTGACTTATTTCCATCGTTATTATAATCTTTTATAATTGCTGGCGTGTGAGAATAGACAACAATGTTCATAAGATTCCCATTAATCTCCTGACTTTTCTTATCGTCAAACAGTTCCGTTTTCTTTAAAAAGCGATTTGGCGGCACAAAGTAGTTTACAATCTTTGAGACATAAATTCCTCTTATTGTTGACGGAAATGGAACTGTTGATAGCTCATATAACAACGTCTTCTTATCCATGCGACTGCTTTTCCTGATATAGATAACATTAATTAATCTCTTCCACAAAAAGTGATTCTTTGGTGTAAATAGACGATAATCATGCAACATGATGAATTTTGCATTCGTGTTAAATAGACGATTATAATCAGCAAACCTTAATAATCCAATCATTTGGATTCCATTAATTATGAGAATTATATAATAATCACATTTCTCTGATTTCATGACATTCAGCATAGCTACAACTTTTTCTGATGGCTCAATGTCCTCGTCATCAAATGCCTCTGAATCTATTATGCTTAATATGTAGATCAATCATCCTTCAATTGATGTTATCAATGATCCATAATACATTTCAGTCTCGTAAATACTGTCGGTGATAAAACAAATTGTCGATGTTGGCAGTGATTTCATGAGAACCGTACTGACGAAATTTCTTACATCATCACGTTTATTGGTGCCTGCAAGCTCTTTGATGATTGCTCCATATTTAATGAACGATGATAATGAGTTAAAGATTGCGGAAGTGCCGAAAATGTTGATGAACAAGAAGAGCTGCAGTAATTTTTGCTTGTACATCGTAATAAGTTGTTGTGTAAACTGCTACATATTTCTGCAAATAAGGCATGCATCAGCATGTTTCATGCATATTTAAATTTTTTTTTTGCCGATTGCTCTGAAACTGTCAGAATCGACGATAGAATGTTTCAGTTACGATAACCTGTTTCATGCCGATGAACTTTGAAAAATGTGGAACTTCGATTATCAATAAAGAACTTCAAGTTCCTTTTACGAAATATATATATTTTTAAGAAATAACAGACGACAAACCCAAAGTCCAAAAACTATAACAATAAGCATGAAAATTATTTTTTTAAAGATTGATGGAATGACGCATTTAATGATGAAATACTTTTGGATTGTTACTTTTTGTATTACTCAGTGGTTGTATAGAGTAAGAATAACCAGGTAAGAGGGTCCGGTTCCACTCTTACATTTTTGAGATTGAAGTTTATGTTGGGTAAAAGTAGGGTTTCTATAATTATGTCAGAGTAGTTTGTGGTCGTTTTTTTATTATTTCCAACCCAAAAGAAACTTCAAGACGCAGTGTGGAGAAACCTCCTAAACCTTCCTTCCAACCAGCAACGCTACCACATGCAACAAAAAATGGGAATTTATACAACCTTCTCCCTTTGTCACAAGTCTTGATTGAAGCTTCACTTCTCACAACTCCCCTCCTCTCAATTACTGGACATCATAATTAAATAACTCCCTCCTCCCCAGCAGTTCACGGTCTTCACAGAAACAGAAATAAAGAGAAAAGGAAATTCTTGATTGCCGCAAACGCAATCAAAGTTTTGTTTTTTAAATTCAAACCATACAACATTTTTCAAAACTAGTTTGTGTGTGAGACAGTCAGGCAGACTATAAGCAGACAGAGTCACATTTATTTCTTCATAAATTGACTACAGAACCGTCTAACTAGCCCACAAAACTATTTTATAATGAAAAACAAAGTATCGTATGATGATCTACAACGTCTACGATTGGCTGTTTTAATTTAGGGGCACGACGCTCTAAATTAAGAATTCTATTCTTGCAAATAATATCGCATGCATTTAGAGAAAATAACAAAAGTTAAAAATTTGCCGGCTTTGATTCCGTTTTGTCATAATGAGATTGAGAGAACAAAAAGGAAACAACAAAACACATGTAGATGACGTGGAAGAATATTTTTTGACGTTTAATAAGCGCGCATGAGCAAGTATCAGCAAAAAAAGTGTATTTTGAGCGAGTTATATAAAAAAAATTAACAGCTGATTGTAAATATTCTCTCAATTTTGTTGGAGACATACAAAACAGTAAAACGGAATCACCCCGTCGTATTCTCTCGACTGATGCTTAATCGGCATTAAAACTTGTGATCTACTGTTATTCAGATCGAAGTACGACCTTTGGTGGGTTCACTGTATTCAATTCTGTTTACGTAAATAGCAAACAACAAATTAAAGTTTGAATCCATTGCTGAAATTGTAAGTATTATTTTTTGTGGACTGGAATGTGAATGTGATGAAATAAAGCCACAAAAAAAATTATTCGCAATTTTTTATGGTATTTTAAAATTGTAATAGAACGACTGCTGTATTAATTTCATAAGGTTCATATAATTTAAAGTCGTAGAAACTTCGTCGTCCGTACCTAATTATGAATAAATGGTAATTAATATTGATTTCTTTAAATTCCAGAAATTCCCATCACCTTTCAAGACATGTCATCACGCAAAAGACCCCACGAGTCAACGAAAGAGAACGGTGGCTTAAATGATGATATGGAAGGAATTACAATACAGAATGGAAGTGAAAGTATCAAAGTTTATAGACCGGTAAGAATCATTAATTTTTAAGTTTTGAAACTTCACCGGTGTTTTATTAAATATTTACTCAACCTCTACATATTTCGTATCCAAGTGCTTAGTTATGGACACATTCGTGTGGAACTTACTTTTAGTTGTCATTAAATATTAAGGCACAACTAGTAAGTGTGATTTTGGGAGTATATTGAAGCGTATATAATTTAGAGTGGTCCCCCTCGTCAATCTTTTGTATATTATAATTCAAGATTCCTCCTAGTTTGTTGGCAAATTTTAAGGACACACAGCATGTCTCTAAACCTTGAAAATCTCATTCTCATTTCTCATGAAATTATAAAACAAGTTTGAAATAATCAATAAATTGATGAGTAAGTTGATTACACATTTTTATAGTCACGTTTGCATAAATGTAGAGAAATTTACATTTTAGAATAATTAGAGAAAGTAGAGGAATAAATGTTTACATCAGCCATTACATCTGATGTACCTGATGATTCTTATTACTTTCGTTTGATTTGAATTGCGTATATTTACAAAAGTATCATTATATCATAAAACTTATATCATTCTAGATGTTTGCATAAAGAGATTTCAATCAGCACATAGCTTAGCTTTAAATAATTTATGAATCAATTTTGATTATCTACTAAAATTGAGTGTTTTAATCTATTCTTAGTTATTTTGAAGATTAAATGTTTTGATTACATTTGGAATTTCTGAAAATAGATTTTATTGGGATGACAAATCGTTGACTGGAAATTCCAGTTAAATTTTACTCTAATTTCCTAGGAATTGAATCTTAATATTCCAGTGCTTTATTCGAAGTCAGTTTAATTCTTCCATAATTAAATTCAATTAACAGCAAAGCTCGAATTTTCATCGATTTAGTAAGGCGGAGTCGACTCAATGCCACACAAAATTTCATCGACTTCGAGCTCTGATTAAAAGTCGATTCAATATGGGGCCGTTCACTTATTAAGTTCGCATTTTTAGGGGGAGGGGGGGTTTGAAAAATTGTAACATATGGGGGGGGGGTCAAGAAGTATCTAACTGTCATCTGTCTTTTAAAAAAAGTTCACGAAAGAATTTGTTTACAAATTCACACCAAAAACATTTTTTTTTAAAATTTTCAACCTTTTTAATGATTTATAAAAAATTATCAAAATAAAATAAATAATGAACGTTCAGGGGGGGGGGGGGGGGGGGTTAGTTGTAACATATTGTAACAAGGGGGGAGGGGGGGTGAAAAAAGTCGTTTTTTGCGTAACGTAATAAGTGAGTTCCATTGTTGTTATCATCAGTTCCATAGATTCTTCCAGAACTGGAATTAATTCCATTACAAATTGGATGAAATTTTGAATTTTAGAAACCGTTACATTTCCATTTCTTCATATTCCAAGAATTATTTCTCTATATTATTTTTTCTTCGTGTCAGACGTTTGCAGACCCCAATCTTCCTAAATTATCAGAAATCATTTATAAACAACTCCTAAGATTCACTGTTACTTAACACAAGATTCACAGTGTTAATACGACTGTTGCCGTAATTCATAAATTCACATTTTGTAAGCCATAAAAGACTCATGATCAACATGCAAAGCCACTTGTTTGAAATTACGACGCCTTGCAATTTTATTACTTTATCACATCATAATAGATTTCATCACTCGAATGAATTTGAATCAATTTAGAATCACGCAAAACCTTGAGAGTACTCACAAACCTCAACGCAATGATAGTGAAACAAATCAATGACTTACTCGGATCCTGTTAATCATTTCTTAATCCGTAAACATGTGACTATCACACGAGCATAGCTGCTGATCCGGAGCAAAATTTGTTTGATAATAAAATTCATGATTAAGTCGTAATTTAAGAATTAGAAAATTTATTATTAAAAATAAATGAGTTGGAAATTTTGAGTCTCGAGTGACGTCAAAATTTTTGTTGAGAAAACTTGCTCACTGTGAAGATAAATGTGAGAGGATCGGGCAATTCTCTGAGCAGCAATAGATATATATCTTTTATTTGCGAAAGTAAAGCTAGCATACAGAAAAAATGTAATACGTGGAAGACCTAAATGACTCAGTTAACATTCATAATTCAATGGAAAAGCAACATATTGCTGCTAAATAACTTAATTTGTAGTTGCGTGCTTCCGTAATTTTATTTCATAAAAAAGTGCTTAATTTGTCAAAAATGGCACCTAATACGACCATTCCTACAATGTCACTACATGATGTTCCACTGCCTAGACAATCGGTAAGGGTATAGAATATTTATAGCGATATTGAACTTGTGTTGTCTCTCCGAACATCCAATTGCCCAGAAATAAAAATTTTTCCGATTACATCATTGAAAGGCAAAATTTCTTTTTTGTTTTTCCGCCTTTTTCTGCTTATTTTCTCACATTTTCTTTTCTGGGGAGAATAGCTGAAAGTGATAATTGAACGGTGACTAAGACGCAGATCTGATCATTCTAATTATTAAGAGTGATTTTTGGAAATTTTGAAGTAACTTCGGCTATTTTTAGTGAAAGTTGAGGATTCGCAATGAAATTAGTGAGTGTATAGTGATCATTATTATTAATACCGATGACTAGGCATGACTTGATCATAGTTGTTTGTGGATAATATTAGGATATGCCGTAGGTAAACGTCAGTTGACACAGAAATCAATCTGCAGTAAATAAAATAATCTAAAGATCAATAAAGCATTAAGCAAAGAAATCATTCGTAAACAAATGACGTCAAGCTTAAGATGGAGTTGTTGAACCCTTCCGGTCATTTAAAATCGATACCCAAAGACATCCAACTGGGGAGTGAGGTCGTGTGCAGCCCAATAACATAAATATCTCGTAATTTTGTGACAAGGGATGGGTTTGGAGTGGACAGCACCTCTAAGTTACCAAAAAGAATTGTTTAAAAGTCGATTAAAACTTTCTCTGCTAGCGCCAAAAATTAACGACGTAGATACAACGGAAAAACCCATTAAAAATTCCCAAATAAACCAAAAATCATAGTCTTATGAGATTGAATCCATACGTGATCCACAACACGTGTTTCGGCTTTGCTTGTCGAATTGTTTCTAGAAGATACAGAAAAAAGTTCTAACCCTTTTAAAAAGACGCTATCAAATGAAACTTGATCTACGAAAGCATTTAAATCAAAAACATGTTAATATCCAAATCTCCATTCAGTTAGTGACTATAAACACTACTTTTTCTGCTAAAAATGTATAGCAACAGATTTGTCACTTTTCTTCTTCAACAATATTTTAAAACAACTTGTAAAGTAGCAAAAAACTGATCATGAAAGCTATAAATAACGCATGCGAAATATTTGTGCCATAAATTATGTGTGTATCGTCTTCCTTCCTCTTCGTTCTCGACATTCTATGAGCTCAATGAGGTGTTGAAGGAAATTTTTATTTACCTTTGAACTTTGCTTCACGAGCATTTAGCTCGCAATTCTGCAAAAATCATCTCCTTGAATTTTTTTATTTACGATATCATTCAGCAACATCTTTTAGCATTGAAGAAAATTGAAGCACATTCAGTAATTAATTAGTTCCGTCTGTTTTTTGTGTATCTTTATAGACATTATGTAAGCCGGCACCATATTCAACAGATCCAGAAGCAATAGCAGAGCATGAAGGATGTGATTATACTCAAAAGATAACAGTTGAGATGGCACAGAATGGAACAGCACCAAGAAAGATTCGTATTTATACGGACGGAATTTATGACTTATTTCATCAAGGTCATGCACGACAAATGATGCAAGCAAAAAACATCTTTCCAAATTCTGAAGTCTATCTAATAATTGGAGCCTGTAATGATGAATTGACACACACGATGAAAGGCCGAACAGTTATGACAGATGTTGAACGATATGAAGCAATTCGTCATTGCCGATATGTCGATGAAATTATTAGAGATGCACCTTGGAAAATTACTGATGAGTTTATGGCTGAACATAAGATTGATTTTGTAGCTCAAGACTCGACGCCTTATGTCAGTGAAGATTGTGACGATATTTATAAAGAGATTAAGGAAAAGGGATACTTTGTAGCTACTGAGAGGACTGAAGGAGTTTCAACATCAGCAATTGTTTCTCGAATTGTAAAAGACTATGACATTTATGTCAGAAGGAATTTGGCGCGTGGATATACTGCCAAGGAATTGAACGTTTCATTCCTGAACGAAAAGAAATTCCGTTTACAAAATAAGTTGGACGAGATGAAGAATAAAGGCAAGAAGGTGATTGATGATGTTAAGGGTGACTTTATTCAGAAATGGGAGGAGAAATCCAATGAATTCATTCGTACATTCTTGATGCTCTTTGGTCGCGATAACTTGTCACAAATTTGGGATAAATCAAAAGGTAGAATTAAGGATGCCTTACATAAAAGAAGTCCAAGTCGTAGTAGTTTATCACCATCGAGATCAGATGATGAAGGCGAACCTTATAGCAGTAATAGCAGCACTAATGGAAATAATAAGCAAGAGCATGATTCTCCACCTCCAAAGCGTGTCCAAAGAGGCACGCATTTATCTCTGACATCAGATGACGACGAAGAAGAGTTTTTATCACCCACAACATCCTTCCCACAATTTTGATTCTCAAATTAAACATAATGACTTACACAGTTAATTGTCAGACATACATTAATATATAGAATGTAACTTCAATTTAGTGTACTGAATTAATTAATTTATTATTACTATATTTTATACACAATTTGTGACTGAATGGATTGGAGATAATGATAATTCTTAAAATCATTTCATGCGCGAATATTCTTTATTAGTTTCACCAAAAAAAAACATTATAGACACACTTTTCTCGTTTTATATGTGCTTATTATATAGTCATTAGTATGTTCTACTGAAATTCAAATTCTTAAGTTTTAAACTTTTTCCATAAATCAATATTATCTGATTAATATTTAGAAGCCACCAATGTGAAATTCGAGGGGTGTTGCGGTGAAATCAGGCAATAAAAACATTTTAAGGACGACTTAAGTTTAAAACTTTATCTTGTGAAGTATAACACTTTAATTCAAAAATGTTTCTTGAGGTTGAGAATTCAAATCTCAGTAATAAGTAACGCCAATCAAGGATTTTAGTTTAAGGTCCTATCCAGTAACGAGATTGAAAACCACGACTTATCATCATCTTAGAAACCTAGACGTGACATTACCGTAATATTCATTTTGTCGATTTTCACGTATGCCTCTCGGATAAAGCCCTCAGACTTTAAAATGAGGACAGAGCATGAATAAATTAAAATAATAATGACACCAAGTGTGCGTAATTGGACGCTTTATAATAAATGAGAGAACTAATTCCTGAAAATATTGATTTTTAAGTAAAAAAAGGCATTAAAAACAGCTTTAAATTTGTAGCTAATTGTTCAAGAAGCAGTCAAGACAGAAGTAAAACGAAGAAATTTCATTAGTAATAAATCAAATATTTATTGAATACATGAAAAGAAGTAGAAGTTTTAATATTTTTCAAGCTACAGAACGCTTACTAAGAATTTACATTTCAGCTTTCAGATTTATTTGGATTGGATTAATTTCTTGTCGTTTAATTAAACAAATTTGCATGCAAAAGAACCTCAATTTATCATATCACAGATATCGTGTCCTTATCAGCTCCAAAAATGGAATTAATAATTACAGCAACAAATCAGCCATTGAAGTCATTTTCCACTTTTCTTTTTAGATAAAATTATTAGACGGTAATGTGAATGTGATAGATGGAAAGCCTGATTGAGCAAGGTTCAGTTCCTCATCGTCTTCGTCAGAGGTTATCGAGCAGTGCTTAGTTCGTTGGATTTTCTTTGGGGGTTGCAAATCAGTGCCATTATTGTCACAAATCATGCCATTTTTCTTATTTTTTGGATGTAAGCTAATGACTTCTCTTATGCCTCCTTTTGACTTGTCCCAAATCTTTTCCAACAAATTTTCACGTCCAAAAAGCATCAAAAATGCTCTTACAAACTCATTTGACTTCTCTTCCCATTTCTGAATAAAATCTCCTTTAACCTTTCTTCCTTTATGCTTGATCTCATCAATTTTGTTTTGTAGACGGAACTTCTTTTCACTAAGGAATGAGACATTTAGTTCCTTTGCAGAGTAACCACGCGCTAGGTTTCTTCTCACATACATATCATAGTCTTTGACTAATCTTGCGACTAGTCCTGATGTTGAGATGCCTTCAGTCCTCTCAGTAGCTACAAAATATCCCTTTTCCTTAATCTCTTTATAAATATCGTCACAATCTTCACTGACATAAGGCGTCGAGTCTTGAGCTACAAAATCAATCTTATGTTCGGTCATAAACTCATCAGTAATTTTCCAAGGTGCATCTCTAATGATTTCATCGACATATCGACAATGACGAATTGCTTCATATCGTTCAACATCTGTCATAACTGTTCGGCCTTTCATCGTGTGTGTCAATTCATCATTACAGGCTCCAATTATTAGATAGACTTCAGAATTTGGAAAGATGTTTTTTGCTTGCATCATTTGTCGTGCATGACCTTGATGAAATAAGTCATAAATTCCGTCCGTATAAATACGAATCTTTCTTGGTGCTGTTCCATTCTGTGCCATCTCAACTGTTATCTTTTGAGTATAATCACATCCTTCATGCTCAACTATTGCTTCTGGATCTGTTGAGTATGGTGCCGGCTTACATAATGTCTATAAAAAAACGGAATAAAATAGAGCAATTAATTATATATCGAAGAAAAACTTGAGATTCTGAATGACAAAATTAATTGAAAGCAAAAAAATGAAATAATTAAGTCAGACATTTCTTGGATGTTATTTAATTAGTAAAAGTGAATTTTGATGATGAAAACAATAAAGTTTCACTTGATTTTCATTTTTTAAAAATGCTTTTAAAATAATTGAAAGTGGAACAATAAGCATAAATTCCAAAAATGTTTTTAACAACCCACTTTTTACTAGCACTAGACAAATTAATATGAAAAACCTTATTTGTGTCACTTACAGAAGATTGTTTAGAAAGTTTAGCGATCTGGATCGTCGGGAAGGTATTATAAGGAGCCATAGCTTCACTACTTTACAGTTAAATTAATAAATTAATTATTTAAGAAATAGCGTCTTAACTCATTGAGAATTAAATTTCTACTGATAATGATCGTCTTACTGAACACGTCGCTTAAATTTTTCCAAAATTACAACAACAGCAAAGTTTGTGAGAGAGGATTTATATTGAGAGTGTGAGAGGAACTGAAACATCACCCGACTAATTCGTCATAGATTTTTAAATACAAAGAGTTTCAGGATGTAAACACTAGGGATTTTCAGACATTCTTAATCACTAGCCTGTCATCAGAATAGAAATTAATGTCGTTTTAAATTGGTTAATTATAGATCCAGTAAACAATTCATTTTGTGAGAGTTGCAAAGAGAGAATTCTAAATTGAATGATCGCCGAACACGTGACGTCACTCTCAAATTGTAATTTTCACATAGGCATGAAGTTTCGCATTCTAACATTAATTTTATTTATTGTTATTTGAACTTGCCATTTTTTACTTTCGTGGGGTGGCAAAAGACTCAATTCATCAAGAAAAGACTTGACCTTGATACTATTTTAAAGCGTATTTTATCATCAAGGTGATAAAAAGTACTCTTAGACATTAGTCACGCCACTATAGCAATTGTTGAATGACGTTAATGCAGAGATTTACACAATTTTTTGGGTTTGATCCTTAAAATTGTTATTTCTTGACGAACAAGACATGCATGGAAGGTTAAAGATGAATTTTAATTGCAGAACATTGTTAAATTTGTATCTACGCTAGTATGACTAGGCAGATTTGCCAACAAATGAGATTAAATAATGGAATTGAACTCAATTTGCTTGACTGAGAATTCAACGGATTTTTAAAAATCAAAAATTCTTGAACTGAAAGGAAACGAACTCTCAATTACTGAACAATTTTGACAAAATCAAAATTCTTGAACTGAACGAACTCTGAACTACTGAACAATTTTGACAAAAAATTTGAATTTTTGAAAATCGTTAAAAATTATAAAAATCCAAAACACCCAAATAGAAGCACCTTTAATTATCACGGAAAAAATGCTGACGCAAGCATAGAGCAATAAAAAAGCAATAAGTTTCGCTCATTTAAAACGTTATTATGAATGAAAGTCCAAGAATATCCCACATCACATGAATGTCTAGAACAATAGCCCTGACGACTCAATAAACCTGTCATAAGTCAGAGTTAATAAATATTAATTACGTGACATAAGCTCACATGTGGCCATACTGATAATGAAAAAAAAATTCCCGATTTATCGTGAAAAAAGTATTAATTGGAACTGATATAATTTACGAATTGCACAATAACTTAAATGCTGATAAGAAAGGCAAAAAGTACATCATACGATCAAGTCACAAGATTATATTTTAATTAATGCATGATCGGCACTCTCGATTTTAATTCTTGTTTTAGTCAAAAAGTAATCGGAATAAGGTCTGTCATTGCTAACTGCTGTGCATTGTGTGTTTATTTATATCTAATGAGCGCAAAATGCACAACTTTTTAGATAAATAAAATCATTCTCATTGTGTGCTCATCTTTCACCGAACGGCTTAATTTATGTACATTGCATCAATTTAATGCTGCTTATGAGCCCTCCTGAACACTTAAAATACACATTTGCGATGCATGTGACAACTAAATGAGTGTGAACTAGGATGCATAGCTTAATCGAAATGATAATAAGACTTTACCGGTCTATTTTGTCTATATTTAAAAGTTGGATTTATGATTAATCTCTTCTCGTTAATCTCGGTTATTCCATCATTTGATCCAGTTCCATTTGTCGTCGTCAAACCATTGTGGGGTCTTTTGCGCGATTCCATTTTTCACAAAATTACAAAGTCTATGTCAAGATAAGTGATAATAAAATAGAACGTGAAGCTCTGTTCACATCCGACAACGAGCACTTTTATTCACAAACTGACTTACTTTATTTTCTCTGAGCGCGACTCTCGTCCAAATATCGATTAAAGCCACGATTTATTTCGAGTGAAATGTTTTTTTGATACGGAAAAGGCCGAAAATTAAATGAATCATCTACTTCTACATAAGCTTATTGTGCATTTAATGTTTTGAGTTGGCTGTGGACTGGAATGTGCAAACATAAGTTCTCGAGTTTCATCTGAATGTTGCTTCTTTTTGTAATTCCAGCATATTTTAAAAACTGATTTTTAAGGTACGTTAACTTTTAGGATTTGAATTTTAACGGTTTTGGAAATTTTAAATTTTGTTTTGAGATGAATTTTGATTTTTGAATATCAACGAGCTTTTCAGATTTTAACGGAATTTAAAAACAATTATCGTGATTTTCTTCAAACTCATTCTTCAAGACAGATCATTTGCCTAGTTTCTGGAATGTACATTTTATGTGTCAAACCTTGAGTCACCAAAAAAATGCGTGTTATTACGGTATATTTACAGCTGTTTATGGAAGGAATGTGATCACCTGAAAATGAATAAGTAATGCATGCTTTGATAGAATATATAGAACACGTATGTTTATTATGTGACAAATAAGACATTTTATTCAAATTTCTTGACAATCTTTAAAGTTTAATTCTTGATGTGATAAGCCTATAATGAAAGCCAAAAGATCATTTAATTAATCAAACAGTTTTAAAAATTCTTTAGAGCTTAAAGTCTTGGGAATTATCAGTAAGAGTAATCAACATGGTTGTTTTTATAATTTTAGGGTTCGGTTTCTGAAGAGGGAGCTCATAAGAGCTATTCATCATAGTTAAATTCGGTAAGTTTGAATTAATATTTTGCATTTTGCTTACCTTTTAGCTAATTTGTAACTTTAGCAAGCTTAACAGCGTCACGTTTGCTCCTGAATAGTTTTATCTGTGAAAATGAATATAATCAGATTAATATACAGCCCATAAACTGTAATTTTAAGTCTCTTAAAAAGGTTAAACTTCAGATAGGAGCGAAAGACACTTTATTACATAGTTGCTATTGTATGATCATGGTTAATCAGATGAACTATGCCTCATCATTCTAGGAAAACTATCAAGTTAATTTATTTATATCCAGACTTACCTAGAATAGCAATTTGTTGACCAAGCTAGACATAGCTTTTCGAAGTACTCTGAAATTATCAATAAGACCCATTAAAACCTAATCAAAGTTAATTTAAAAATTGCAATAGAGTAAAATTAATTCAGATAGGAGCGAAAGACAAGATGCTTTTAAATGAAATCATTATATATCATCTGAACTATGCTGATCATCATGTTTATAGCTTTAAATTTAAATAATCAATTCTTATTACCTTGATATTGTACTCAGCTTAGTGTTCCAATAATGTCATGGCATTCAGTAATAAGCATGCAAGCTGTAAGTAGAAAACATGCACAATTAGTGTCTTTTGAAGGTTTTAAGGCACGACAATGTATGGCGATTTGAAAGTTATTATTCAGAATCCTTTTGGCTAAAGAAATTAAACATTAAAATCATAAAGGAATTCATACAAGCAAGCGTATAGTTCATCATTATAAGGTTAACTCTGAATAATTCATTTAACATAGATTTTTACATACCTAGAAGTTACGTAATGTACCATTTTGAGATAAAAGTCATCTGCTGTGATTCTATAATTGGTAAAAATAGGTATTAATGGAAATTGCTCACAATTATTGGATTTAAATCTATGGACAATCTTTAGTCAGCATCCTTTTTGGCTTTATTATAATCTTAAGACGTCACCATTATTTTATGTATGGGTAAAGTAATCATCACAAAAGACTATGCTACTTATTAACTTAAAACTGTTATTTACCTGATTTATGATGCATTTTTCAAACCGATTTGGCAATTTTGTTCAGCAATCTATAAGCAAAAGAAACAGAACAAGTTAGATATTGTACGAGTATACACTATAATTAAGCATTTAAAGTAAATCTTCAGCTGGCCGTTCTTATAGATTCTTCAAATGAATTCAGAACTAAGAACACTCATCATTTTTGCCATATCTAATACTATATAAATTATATGTCTTACCTTAATCAATTAAGGATCCAGTAATAGCTTCATGGCTTGATGTACTTTCCTTGAATAAACCATCGCTTGACATCAACGTCTTCCTTCTTATTGATTGTTCTTCTTTGGATGAAATTGTTTTGGTCAACTTCAAAACCGGCACTTTCAAAAATGCTTTTAGCTTCATCCAGTGAGAAGAAATAAGATCTAGTGCCATCTTGGCGTACATAAAAGTTTTCAGCAATCTTATTGCCAGATTTGAATCGAAGTTGTGCCATATCATAAAGTCCATAATCACGAAACATCAAGATTCCTCCTTTCTTAAGGAGCTTAAATAGATTCTCAGCAACAACTTTAAACTTTTCTGGATGAATTGCTGACAATACAAAAATCATTGTAATTATGTCCACAGATTCTTCCTTAATAGTCGCAAAGATGCTCTCTGATGTTATGTCACATTGAAATGCTTTAATCTTTGACTCATCATATAGCTCATTCTTTTTGACAAAGTCTACAGCCCGCTGTGAGAAATCGCAGGCATAAATGAAGTAGCTGTTATGCTTCTCTTCAATTAATGGATATACCATATTGCCAACGCCGCAACCAACTTCAAGTAAGACTTTCTTTTGATCATCAAAAGATCCAGCTAGTTCTTTAAACTCACGAATAGTCCATAACCTAAGATTAAGAAAGCATGTTTTAGCAATTTTTCAGTCATTTAACTTAATTAACATACCGGTCTTTAAAGAATCTCGTCTCATTGCGCTTGTAGAACAAATCCCAATTCTTTTGAGCATCTTTTTCAAGCTTTTGAGCCTTGAAATCAGAAACAATGCGTGAATTTTGCTTTTCAAGCTTGTCCTGCATTTCTTTAGTCAGTTTTGGATGTTCTTTTAAAACCAAATTGTTCACAAATTCATCTTCCATGATTTGACAGCTTCTCTTAGCTGATTTTCATTGTTCAATTTAATTTAATTATATTACTTTATATCTAGTAATAATTAATTCTACGTCTGAACGCTTTGAAAGCACAAGATGGAAAGAACGAAAATTGTCATAAGAGGCACAAAGTCGTTGACGATGCAAAAGAACTCGTTGGGTTTTTAAATTTCAAAAAGTCGTTAAATGTAGATTCAATTTTATCTCAAGATTATGTTATTTTAAGGCATTTTGAATAACTTAGCATAACGCAAACGACTCGAATTAAAGAAAAAAGTTTGTTTTAATCTATAGAAGAGTCAGAATTGTCTATTTTGAGCAATTTCATGGTAATTGTTGTCGAAATTAATTTTAACGGTCGTCAAAAATTTGAATCAATCAAAAAGTGTCGAAAAAAGTAAATATTGGAAATATTTTGATTTATATTTTTGCAGCTATTCTTTAATTATTTTATGGCCTTTAAGTGCTTCTAAAGCACATTCTTCTTGTTAATCTTGATAAAGGAAATTGCCGAGATAATTGTACAACAATTTAAATTAATTAAGGAAAGCTTTTAAAGGTAAAAAACGATAAAAATAATTTGTTTCTAAATTTCATTTATCAAAATTTGAATTGTTTTTTTAGTTAAAATAATGGATAGCGTATCAATTGAAGTGTCTGGGAAGAATGTTGTAGATGAGAAGGAACAGATTAAGATAATAGAATCAGTTCCGAAGAAAATAACAACGTCATTGCAGATTCCAAAAACTGAAACAATTTCACTCGAGATTGCTCGGGAACAATTAAATAATTTGACCAAGAAGCGAAGCAAGAAAGCATCTCCAGTTACGTCAGATAGTGAAAACACATCAATAGTAGTTGAAACTGTTAAAGAATTAGAAGTACAGCCAATAACGGCGAAGCAAGAAACATTTCCAGAGATTTTGTATGACGGAAAGCCAACAATGCCCAATTTAAGTAGCGCAATCATATCAAAAGAGGAACTGGAAGATGAAATTCGTAAGAAAATTGTTAAATCAGATACACAGCAACAAGTTGTGAATAAGAAAAGTATAAGTTATGATATTGGATCAATTGAAATTCCACAAGAATTAATCTTATCGGAAATAAACAGTTCAGCATCATCATCAAAGGATAATAGTCAATCCAGTCAATTAGATGAACAGCAATTGATTGACATTTTAGAAGGAAAGGATGATCAAAATGATGAAGTTGGTCAAATAATTGAAGTTATTGGTGAAAATGGAATGTTATTAGTTAAAGATAATAAAGATGATCAAATGACAAGCTATGAGATCATATCCACAGAAGATGAAAAAATGCAATCGAAAAAACAGAAGCTCCTCGAACGAGAAATAGCAATGAGACAAATTGCAAGTATGCCAACAAGAAAGAATCGAAAGTTAAAAAGTCAATTTGCTATTCCAACAACATCATCAAATGCAACTCAGAAACAATCGTTAGTTCAATCATTAGCTATGGATTGGAATGATGATGATAAAGGCGAGGAAGTAATATTAGAGCTTGAGAATATTGAGGAAAGAGATGGTGAACCAAAAATAAAGATTCTAAATATGACAATTCTTAATGAATCATCGGAAGAAATAAAGTCACCGACACAGAATAAATCGTCACCAAAATTGCCAACACTTCAAGTCTACAAAAATGAACCAAAAATCCTCAATAAAAATGCCCCGAAAATTCTAAATGTTAATGCTCCAAAATTGCCAGCCGAAGAACCAAAGCGTGTCATTAGGAGAAAGACAATTTGGGATCCATCTGCTGCTTCTAAATCCCAATCTCAATCGCCAACTCCTCCAATGATTGAGAAAAAGCCAACACCAAATAAAATGCCAATAAGTCTACCATCCACAATAACAATCAAGAAGCTCACAAAAGAATCACTTGCTAAAAATGCTTTAGCTATTGCTGATCAAAAAGAGCAACAACAGCAACAGGCACAAGGAAGAAAAGGCAAAAAGAAATCAGAAATTGACAAGCTATTCCAGGATGAAGGAGCAGTTAACATGATTTACAGCTTAGAACGACAAAATAATAATCGGGATGTGCCTGAAATAGAAGTGAATGTTGATCAAAAATCAATGATTGATAAGTCAGAAGAAAAGACTAAATTAATAGCTAAAGCAAAGACGATTAAACAGACGATAATGAAACAGTCAACATCACCTCCAGAAGCAAAAATAACTCCAGTACGTCCACAGAGAATTAAACGTGATTTAACACCAAGTAAATCTGAAAGTGACAGTTCATCCGAGAAGAAAGGCACGCCTGAAAAGACTGTAATAATTACAAAAGCTCAAAAGACTCCAGTTGTTGGACGACAACGGAAAGTTGATGATTCATGGGACTTTGTAAGAAAGGCACAGACAACATGTGATGATGCTATGATTATTAGACGTCATTCAAACTCATCCTATTCGAGTTCAGCACCAACTAGTCCACGAAGATTAAGTTTGGATGCAGAAGAAATTGGCAAATTTAAGGATGAAAGGAATGGCTTTAAATTTACAAAACCTCAAGAAAAATCGCCTGAAATTCAAAAGGATTTAAAAAGCTGTGTTGGTGGGCTGGTTGAGGAACTTAGAAATACACTATCGACTAAACTCGGTAAAGGTAAAGGCACGACAGAAAAGACACTAAAAGGAAAGAAACGTACTGCTGCTGCTGCAAATAATAGTAATAGTCAAGAATCTCCACCAACAAAACAGCGTGTAAGTGAACGACGATCAAATGGAACTGAGAAGGAATTCAAAATTATCAAGGAAGATGCTTTAACACACATCATATTGACTGCTAATCCACTCACAATTACTCTTCTTGGTGAAATTAAGACACTTTTAGGACATTTGGAAACAGACGAGAGCTGTAAAGTCGTTTTAATTACTGCTAGTGAAGACTTTTCACATGGACTGGATTATTCGACGCTCATTCAGAATACTATTGACAAAAGAAAGCAAGCTGCTAGCGATTTAGTCACTGCTGTCAAGTGAGTTTTAATTTCAACTTGTTTTCAACGGATTTTTCAAATTTGAAAATTTTGTTTTTTGTCAAAAAGTCAATATTCAAAATTTTGAAAAACCGCTAAGTTATTTTTTGACAATATTCAAATTTTTGAAAGCCGTTAAAGTTCAAATCGAAGAAAAACGTTGAAAATCTTCTTTTTTTTTCAGAAACTTTTTCATATTTTTGGCTGCATTTCCGAAAGTAATTGTATGTGGACTGAAAGGAACGGTGTCAGGTATCGCCGTATCTATGCTTCCATTATTTGATGCAGTTATTGCTGAATCGTCCACAAAGTTCTCATTAGCTCATGGAATGATTGGCTCAAATGTGGAAGGAATTTCAATATTACAAGCTAGTAATAAAATCAATGCCAATATTGTGAGTGTGTAAACATTAAATTAGATATGCTTAATATTGATAAAATCTATTTTTATTTGTTTAGATAACCGAACTTTTCTATATGAACGAAATATTGAATGTTACATCAGCATTAAACTATGGATTAGTATCAAAAATTGTTCCTAATAATATGGAAAGTAATACAAAAGAGATTTGTATGAAAATGTCAACGCTTTCGAGTCAAGTAAGTGTCTACTAATACTACCAATCAACTGCTGTTTCCTTCCTCAAGCAGTGTGCCTTATAAAATAGCTCATTATAAAATAATTCCTCGACATTCTCTTCAATGTCAGTTTCCTCGACATAATATCGACAATCGTCTGTATAATTGCACGTACATCTTTGAAATATAAAGCCATAATCAGTTCTAGCTAATCCACAAAATTCATCTGTATTGCATTTCCTTAAATCTGCACATTCAAAATAATCGAATGCCTTAAACAATTTCTCATTTTCTGGAACTGCTTGTCCTTCGCGTGAATGATGTCTCCAATAAACTGGATGCTTAGCACATCCACATAATAATTTTGTGGATATATTTTTAATTTGATTGATGTAATAGAATTTTGTAATTTCCAAAGCTTTTCCACCAACTTCACATTCTGGTAATTCATTAAGCAGTTCTTTTACTGGCACGCAAAACTTCATTTGAGTTCTTGCGTTTATTGACAAGCTTCTGTTGTCATTATCGTATGTGGCAGGGCAGAATGTTCTTTCAGGACACAAACATAACTTTTCGACAACATTTTTGCCAAAATAAGGCTTATAAACTATGTTGCAAGCATCAAATCGTCCACAAATGTCCACAGACTCTTCATCTGAATTTTCTGACAATTCATATCCAAAACCCATAGTGCAAATAATCACAAGAATTATCAAATATTTTAAATGTCCCATTTTTTAAAGGAACCAATTTTTAACTATGACACTCGACGACTGATTTCAAAAATAAAGTGTTCTCAAGATGTGAAAATTACTTTTTCTAATAGCTGAAAATTTTTCTCACTTCTCTCATGAAAAAAAATGAATATTTTTCTTTCTATTTTTAAATGTTTTTGTGTATATACGTTGTCGAACATGCTTTAACTGCAGAAATGTTGGATAGTGTCTCAGTCATTATCGTGGTTTATGCGCAGTTTTATGGGAACTTAATTAGCTTGATGAATATTTAACGGTTTCTCAAAGTTTGAAATTTATGCAAGAATCAGTTAAAACTTGAATCCTACAAAACCGTTAAGAAATTTGAATTCTACAAAACCGATATAAAGCCAAACTGATTTCAGCAATTAACTCATTTTGTAAGCGACACAAGGAAATTATTACCGGACCTATAATACTTTTGTTTATGTTGCGAAGTCGATTATTTTGATATCTTTACTTTTTCTTTTTAATTCATTAATAAAACAGGCGTTGGAGTCAACAAAGAATATTTTAACGGAAGAGTTTCTCTCGTCTATCGATCAACATTTGTCGAAGGAAGTGAAAATATTGCAACAGCAGTGGATAAGTGCAGAATGTCAAGAAAAATTCAAAAAATATTCTTCGACTGGATCTTGGTAGAAATTTTTTCAAGAAATGTCTTGAAAAGTTTGGATTAATTAATTTTTTTATTTTATGCCTGTTAATTTAGAATACTTTAGTCTAGACATTCTTTTTCACCTTTTTACGATAGTTAAGTTTACATAAAAAATAATTAAGCTTGAGTTATAAATTTTTTGACCTTTCATTGTCTTTATTATAAACAACTTCCAAATGTTTCTTGAATCATGATTCATGATTTTTCTTACTTCTTATTTCATTAAACAAAGCAATATATATTGTTATTCTTTTCTATAAAAACTTAGTTAAGTTATAAAGGATACAAACTTTTTTTGTCATTTTATGAAAAACAGATGGTACATATAAATATATTTGAATATGTTTAATAAACTGAGTTAAAATTGAAATTTGATTAATGAATTATAACTGTGTTTTTATGCTTAGGATATCGTTTGTAATAATCGTTAAATTAACGGCCAAAAAATATTTGATTAATAACTTTCAAAAAATATTCAAATCTTGAATCGGTTATCTCAATATTTAAAACTTTTTTGACAGTTATTTTTTAAAACATATTTTGTACGTTAATTTTGCACAAAATTTTGCAGCATAATTAAAAATTCAGTTCATTATTCAGCTTGTTGCTCTCAATTTCTAGCTTGAATTCGGTATAACAGTCAGCAGATAATCCCGTTGATCCAACAAAGTCTTTGGAATGTTGTCTTCAAGAACACTTCTTGGAAAGCCTGTTAATGTCAACATTGTCTCAAGCAAATCCAGACCGTTCATTATTTCCATCGAAAGTTCATGTTTGGAGCTGTTTGAATGTAATCTTGAGTTATCAATTATAATTAAAAGTTTAATTTATAAAATTACCTCAAATTAAACTCGAGCATTTCAAACAAGCAAGTCCCGAATAAATCAATAAAATCCATTAGATAATTATTCTCATAAAATTGTCTCAAAAGGGTAATTAAACCAAGCAAGAAAACGTGTCCATCAATATATCTATTGCTATGAATAATGTCAATTATATTCTTTCGGTGCTTCATTATTGCTGATGCATTTATGCTGTTTGTCTTGTTAAACTTGAGGAGATTTTTGCCAAACACGAGTCGATTTAAATTTGTTAATACGAAAATGACAATAAAGTTTAAGAATTCATTCGAGTTTTTAGACATTTTGATGTAGACTTTTTCTATAGGATTATAAAGACCGACCATTTCTAGATGCTTGTTGACTTCTAGAAGTAATTCTAAACTTGGCTTGGGCTTATTGTTGTCGATTTCATGGCACTTTAATTCGTATATCAGAGCGCTATTTTAAAGAAAATTTTTGCATGAATATAATGTTGATAATATTGAAGTTTTAAGGATTTAAAGGATGTCACTAAAATAGTTTGAAAAATTCAAATATGTAACGGTTGAAAAAGATTTTAAAAATTAATAAAACCGGTTTAAAATTTGAATATTTTCTGACAGTTAATTTCCAAATATTTTCAACCGTTATTCTTCAAACAGTTTTTTGTTTGATGAATTTAAATTTTTCATGTCCGTTGCATTTTTAAAATCGAGTTCCAGCATAAAACTTACTCATTAAAGGCACTTAAAGAATTCACCAGATTTCTGCAATTGATCCTTGATGAAGTAACTAGCTCATGTGCAATGTGACTCCTCCAAATAGCCTTCTGTCCCATCGACAATATTTGTGGTAAAATATTTGAAAGTCCTTTGCTGCATTTATTTATGTATGGCTGATAATGTTTGAATGGATTCTCTACTTTACTTTTATCTTTGACGTTTGCTTTTCTATTTTCAAAATCAGTCTTGAATTTCTGCAAAATGTCTGTCCATTGCTTTTCCTTTAATACTTGCTTTAACAACACTTTATGGATATTCTCTAGATCATCAGATATCATGTATGAAAATAATTTGTCGATTCCAACGAGGCCATGAACATCAACGGAATTAAAAAGCAAATTTGTAAATTTTTGATCGACGATTTCTTGATGACTTTTGACATCGTACCAAGATGTCAGCAGGTCTACATATATCGTTGTTTTTGGATCTGTAATTTTAAGAATTTCTCTAGCTAGTCGTCCGATAAATGTTAAAGATGCATCATTTGGAAGTGAATTAAAATTAGGAATTGGAATCGAATCACTTTGGAACTTGCTAAATTGAAGCTTCTTCTTTTTAAATGTATTGCATTCCTGCTCAACATTATAATTAATGATTCTCATGATCTCTTCCTTCCATATTAATAATCCACTAATATTCAAATAGTCCTGGACATACTCAAAAGTGCTGCGAAGTCCTTTAATAATCTTTGCAAGATTATTAAGCTTTTCGACCAATAAAAGCTCTTTTGAGTTCTTCTGTTGCTTCTCATTAAATTGAAGGACTTCATTTAATGCTTCAGCTACATGCTTAACTAATTCCTTCCTTATACCATCTTCCAGCAACTGTTTAGGATCCAATTCAATGACACCAACAAGTGTCTTTTCCATCGCCATAATTCCGTCCGTAAAAACAGAAATATTAAATGTCAGCATAGCTATATCTTGACGAATGCCTAACTGTGCAAATTCCTTAACTTTATCTTTTTCAAGCTTCTCTGGAAGTTCCTTTAAATGATTAGTTTGGAGCTCAATAATTGAACGCAATAAATTAAATATTGAATGTGGGATAATTTGAACAATTTTCCGGACATACTTGACAAGCTCATTGCTGTAATATCTTGTTATGCTTACAAACTCTTCAGCGCCACCAAATTGATTGATTCTCATTAATGGAATTTCTAAGGCTGTGGCAAGCTTAATAAACAATGTCCTTAATTTAATTAAAATGTTTGGTGTCTTTTGAAGGCTTAGATGGATTGTTGGAGTAAAGCCATCAATCAAGTACCAAGCATAGCTGAAATCACCAATCGCTTGAAGATCCACAAGAATTGTATCTTTAATATTTAACAAATAAATCATGCTGTTGAGTAAGGAAATGGTTTCATCAAGTCGCTGCTTTGCGTGAGCATATGATGAGAAGTTGTGATACTCTTGGACTTCCGAAAATGCTTCAATCATCTGCACTAGCTTCTTTTCTACAATTCTTGGTTTCTGCTTTAATTCAAGCGATTCGATCTCTTTGGAAATGTCTACAAACCACGACTGTAGTTTCTCATTTTTCTCAATTTTAAGGAACTTTGAAGCTTCACCTGAAAAGAACATTTTTAATTCCGCTAGCTTTTCCAGTGCGTCAGCCTTGAAATTATTCCATTTAGTCTCCTTATTCTCAAGCAAATCTGTTGCTATTTCCTTCACAATCAATTCCAATTGACTAATATTTAATATCAAGTCATACTGATCATGGACATTAAAGTTCTGTGAGTTCCTTACTAAATCATAAATATGCTTGGACTTTTTAGTGAAAATATTTGAACTGTTAAGAATCCACCAACGTGCTGAAAAATTACATTCTCGAATGACTTTAACGATCTTGTCTAGATTTTTTAATAGGAACTCTTCTTTGAGTACGCCTTCCTTTAATAAGCCACGAGTTGACTCAATCATTCTTTTCATAGTCAATTGATTCTTAACAGTAATTTCTTTAATTATTTGTGGCTCTAAAATCTTAACTAATGCTGTCTTTGCAGCTTTATATCCATCCCAAGCATCAAAAAGGTTAACAGTCAATCCCATATAAATTGAAATGATCCAGTTATTGTAGTAAAATTTATCACATATTTCTCTCATCCTTGAATGTTGATTCATAAGAGTATCTGGTTGGAAATAAAGGCATGCAAAGAGCATAGATGATTGCGTAGACAGTGCTATTGTTCGATGTTCTGGTGCTGGAAATTTCTGCATTTGATGATAAATGTCTTCAGACTTTAAAGTTTCAATTACATTGCTGACAAAGTTTTCATCTAAAGGCACACGAGCAAAGTAGTTATCAGGATATCCACTCGTTGAACATGATGGCTGGAAATGTATTGTATTGCCTGTATTTTGGGGATTATAGGTAGTAGATCTGCAAAACTTGCAAACATCGTCAATTGATGAGTCTGAATTTTGAGAATGATATCTATAGTATCCAATTAGGAGCCTCTCGCGTACTTCACCGGGTATGAAAACATCCAGAATGATCAGCATAACAGCATAAAGATACAGCGATTCACAAATCAATTGTCGACCTTCCTCATCTTGAAAAATTGAATCTAATGTTGTCTGGATATATGCTCCTTCATTTAAATCATTAATAAAATGGTTCAGATTAATGCCATACTCATAAACGCTCTCAAAAGCTTGATAAAATCTTAACAAGATTCGAGAATAACTTTCGCGTATAAATTCATCCAGTTCACTAAGGTGCTCGTCATTTTCGATCTTCTTCTCCTGTGCTTCTATTATTCGAAAGTATCTAGATGAAGGAAATGTATTCATTGGTTCTTTAATTTAGCAAGAAAGTGATTAAACTGTTGACTCACTTAAAATCCATAATAATTTCGTCATATTTTTTGTTATCACTGACTTGGAACTCATTTGGAATGATCTGCGATATCTTTAGAAGCTCTGATATGATGGCATTGCCAATACTTGTAAATTCGAGTGCCTTTTCCATGTCTTTAAAGGCTTTATTAAATTACTTTAATTGTTAGCAATTTTCAATGTTTACATTTTTTATTTGCAGGGTTCGACATCTAAATTGTTTGTCTGACTGAATTTATGAATTATACTATAGCATAATATCTAAAGATTGTTATCTATTCTTAAGTATGTGGTACTGTTTAGTATTCATTCCTTAGTATCAATTAAATCAATTAAAGCAACAGATCTTAATTAAGGCACAATCTACAAAAACATGAAAACAGTCATAACTGTCGTTTAAAATTTAAATAGTTCACAAACATTTGAGTAAATAAAAAAAAACTTTTTAATTCAAGAAGAAATAAAAATCGATTTTCAACAAATTTGTCGGTATTAATTAGACTTATTAATCTATGGAAAACGATCAGAAAAATATGGAAAGCGAGGAAAAATCGGACAATAAGAAGACAGAGCTTTCCAAAGAGAAATATTTTGAGGTAAAACTTATTTTCTGATGTGTACTATTTGTTTTGTTTTGGAAGTGAAAATTAACATAATTATTTTATGTTTATTTCACGGTTTATAGACATTGTCGCTTATCGTTGCTTTATACAAGCATTTCTTTCAATTAATTTTACTTACTTTTATGCCTCGAGCAACTTCCAGTAAACTGTTAATCTAATTTCAATGTCAAATTCATTAATTCAAGCTTCTTTACAGCTGCTTCAAGAATGGGTTAATCTACAGAATGCCTTTAGGGCAATGACTTATTTTCCCTTACTTAATCAATCATCATTAAACACTGGAACTGAAAGTACTCAAAATCATCAGTCACATCCAAGGCCACAAAATGCTAATCAGCAATTACTCGGCAGTCGTCGATGGTTTGATCCCGCCAGAGCTGAAGAAATCATTCGTGTGAATGGAGGATATGACTTAGTAATTAGTCCACTTTATAAACGATTCCTATCAGAAGTACTTGACTGTATTATTTTGTTCGTCATTAAAATTGTCATACTTGTTATCTTGATTGATTTATTTGATGTGAATATAACGCTAGACTTAGACATTGCTGACATAAAGGATATGAAGTTCCTAGAAGATGACTACTCACAGTTATTGAATCTAAGCAGTGAATTCATTGTTCTTGAAATTATCACTAAAATCATTTCGTGCTTGTATGAGGCAGTCTTTTATGTAAAATTTGGTGCTACGATTGGAAAATTGGTGCTTGGTATTAAAGTCATTCATGCAGAGGCTGTCATTCCACTAGAACAGCAAGTTAATCACTCGTAAGTCATTTTTACTTTTTAGCGGTTTCTTAAATTTTGAATAATTTTTAAAAGGTTTCAAAAAATTGAATTGTTTTTCAAAATTTTGAAAGCCAGTAAAAATTTAAAATCGAAAATATCTATAAATATTAAGAATTCAAAATCAAAAATGTCGATAAATGTTAAGATAAACTTTCCATTATTCAACAGTCAAGGAATTCGCGCATTGGTCTTCCCAGCAAAAAACTTGACATTTGTAAGTATTATAGAACTTTTACTTAATTACATTACCTTAATTGACTAATTTGTAATTGTAGTTCCGAGCATTGATGAGATCATTTGCTAAAAACTTGATGGTAACGTTGCTATTTCCAGTGTACTTTATGCTGTTTTTCTATAAATATAATCAACTGATTTACGATATGCTGTGCAAAAGCGTGGTCGTTGAGTATAATCCAAATCCGATGCTGAGACGCAGAAACTAAACTATTAAGGCGGTACCAAAAAAATATACATCATGTAACATGAAAGAGAATAAATTTACATGCATTTTTACTACTTATATTTATCCATGAATAACGTCGACTATTTATTACAACTAATTCAGCTTTGTTTACAGATTGCTCTTGGTAATTTTATCGTATCCTCAAAGAAGTACTTGTTAAACTTTTTAAATCCATAGCGCTTTTCTGGATCTTTTTTGCAATTTGCTGGCTTTAAAGATCCCATTAATCCAGCTTTATGAGCCATTGTGACCATCGTTCCAATCTTCTTCTGCTGTCTTTTACATAATCCAGTTACACGTCTAGGAAGCATACATCCATCACTTCTAACGTACTGGGAAAGGATCAGAACGTCTGTATGTTTTATATCAAGTCCTAGTGAACATTCTGGACAAAATCTTTCACCATTTCTCGCACATTCCTTTATTTGAGGAACTAAAAGCTGTTCTCTCCCTGATTCAACTGTCTTGCCTCGTACTGTAACTACATCTTTTTCTTGGGAAATTTCAACTTAAAAAATGTGAAAATTTTAAAACTTAATTTCACTTCAATTTACGTATTAATAGTAGCTTACTGTGTTTTACTCTTGTAGCTGGAGTTGTGAACAATGTTCTAGCTGCTGGATATCCCCAGAAACTCTGTCTACATACGATATTTTTGATTAAATTGTTCATGTTTATGTTTGAAATTTAATCAGCCGTATTCACATGAAAATTTGAATGTCTTTACAATATTCTAGTTAAGACACAATAATTTAAATTTATTCTAGACACATTTTAACCGTTTTTCTCGATTGAACACGTGGTTGAACCGTTAAAATTAATTTTTGATGTAATTTTGTGTTGCAGAGCTGAAAAACTGTGAAAAACAATTAAAAATGCAGTAGTTTACTTTGAAATAGGCATTCAAAATTTGTTTATTTTCAGAAAAATCATCTTTAAAACAAGTTACTTCAAACAAAAGGCTTTTTTGTGCTTTAAATTCACTTAATAACTTTCACTGGCGTTGAACATAATTTACAGTATAATTCATTCGTGAAATAGAAACAAACAAAATTATTATTATTTTTAAATGAATTCCTTTTTTGAGATCAGAAAAAATGATAATTTAAGAATTTTCAATCAAGACCAATAAAGTAATTATTTAATTAATAAGGAAACGTGAAGGATAAATCAGTTTGTTAATTGCACTCGAAAAAAAAGTTTTTAAATATAAATTAAATCGATTAAATTCAATTTTAAAATTGTCAAAATAATTCACAAAAAAAGAGAAAAAAAATTTAAAGATTTAGTGCAACGAAAACTTTTACAGAAAGCGCCTGAGTTAACAATATTAATTATTTTATTCGTTGCACATCTCTCATGCCTTAATTAAATGCATTTTCTTGAGCTTTTAATAATGGTGGATGAATTTGTTGTCTTCCTTAATTGCAATAAAAAGCTTAATTAAATTAACTCAAAATTCAATTTATGAGAAATGCTAATTCCTTACAACTATAGTTCTTATATCTATTTCTTCAATTTCTATTAATTTACAATATTTCTGAAGAAATTGCACAAATCATTAGTTTACTAATATTCAAAAGTACGGATTAAACTCGCTTGAATATTCGCTTGTATATGAACAAAAAAATCAAAATTGTGTGTCCTTTAAGGACGATAGATAAACCTAGAAATATCACGAAAAGTGTGTGTAAACAAATAATAATAATAAATTTTTCTCAATCAATGTGCATCAGCAGTGCTTGGGGTAAACTTTTTAATGGTATTGGTCAATCATGAGTTTCCTTTTATCTGATTTTCGAGAAATTTTGAACATTTTGGTTAAAATCACTCAATTCTTGAGCAAGATTGATCAAAAATAATCAAAATTGATCAAAATCTAATTGATTAGTTCTGCACCCTTGTTCTTGAGAAGATGAAACGGAAGACTTATAAGAACAATCTAGACTACTCTAGTCCAGCAGTTCAATAACTCACAATTAGTTTTCAAAGTAATTGAGTTTGAATTTAAAGATTTTCTCTAAAGGAACAGATCTGATCAAAAGTAAGAATCAAAACCAAACCTAATCCAAATCTTTAAATTTGTATTGACTATCAATATGGAAATAAATCTAATGATGCAAATAAGATGCTTTTAATGAATGCTTGACTTTATTTTGAAATCCAGATTATTCAAAATAGCAATTTCAAGACAAAAATAACCAAATCTCGATTTTGATGATGAACATTTTAATGATGTTGAACCATCAATATGAGCCTAAATTAAAGCTTGGCGAACATTACAGTTTTGTGCGATTGATTAAATTTAAAGTAATGCTGTCAATTTCCCAACTTCTGCTGATTCACATCGATTCCATTTTTATAAAATTGTAAATTTCCCATAAATCATATAACTTAAAGACATTTCTTAGAGAATTTTTGATTTTTTTGAAATGCACTTGATTAATTTAATTATATTAATGATAATATATCAATATTTGTACATATCTCTCTTAACATCATTATGGCTCTTATAGTATCTTCTAAATATTTTATTTAAATTTTCCTTTGCATGAGATGAGTTTTTTGTGTTTTTTGTTTCTTTTCTGATGAAAAATTTGTCGACGAAAAAAAAAGGTTTGTGAAGCTGTTCAATGAACAATCAGTCTGTTAGATCGTGTAAAATATTAATATTATTTTTGATATTTTTTTAAAGAGAACAAATCCACATTAATTTCTAGTATTGAAATAATAAGGCACATTGTGGTCAACCATACGAATCATATCTTATAAATCTTATCTATAACAATTTTATTTTTCATTTTGTGGACATTCATAAGTAACGTCTAGTGTTGAAAAGCTTTTTATTATTATAAGAAATGTTATCGAAGTGATCATTGAATTGAAAAGTTGTTTGAATTAGTCATTCATTTCTTTAAGCTATAGCTTTATAAGGCTAGCTCTCGCCAGAATTATAGGAACAAAGGGATTTTGCGACGCAGAGGGTGAGTATGGATTGTAATTATTTGTAAAACTTGACTATACTCGTGGGAATATTGAGATATGGGGCCGTTTACTTATGACGTCCGGGGGGGGGGGGGGGGGGTCAGCGAGAAAAGAACAATAGAAATTCCTGGAAATCTTTTTTGAAAAATGACCGTTAATTTCGGACGTCATAAGTTAACGGGTCCTAAGTACCTCATCAACCTCAAATAGTAGGGAAAGGGATTAAAGAACAATTACTGTTTTCCGTACGATTAACAATCCGATAGTATAATTATAACTGACTCCAGCATCCGCATTGTGATCACTTGACAACAATTTCCAAGTATTTTTCATTGAATTTTACCTACCCTGTTTTTTCGTTATAAGCTAGTAACTTAAATGAATAAAAAAGTGATTTTTTTGGCTCACTAGTAGCTTAGTAACGAATAGTAGCTTAGTAAAAAAATTGAACTTCTATGAAAATTTTGAATTTTTTAACTTAATTAAAGAAATTTTGCTATCTTCTCGATTTCATTTCATTGACAATGTCATAAGGCATTGAAACTGATACTTAGAAAGTTGAAAAAGATTAATTAAACTTTATTTTTGGTAGTACCTTAGTAAAGATTACAAAAAAATTTCAAGTTCAAAAAAAACTTTACTAAGCTAGTAGCTTAGTAACGAGGAGTAGCTTATAACGAAAAAACAAGGTAGAGTAAATGGGGTGAGGGGATTAAAAATTAAAACTCAGACGTCACTGACGAATAGCCCCCAAAAATTCATGGAAGCACAAAAATTTCAATAACTTATTGAGAAGTAGCCACAATATGCTGTGGCATTGGTTGAACAACAACAACATTATTGTTGTTATTATTATTATTATTACTATTCATAGTTGGTGCAATTGCGTTTTGAGGCGTCGATGATCCAATTTGAGGTGATGTCATTAATGGAATTGGAAATTTACATTCTTTAGGCATATAACACTCGTGTGTCATTTTCATGTGATTCTTCATCTTATCCGGCCGTGAAAATTCTTTACGACAAACGGGACATGGAAATACTGTAAATAATATAAAGTTATTTTAAGCATCTCATTGTTTTTATATCCAGAAATAAGTTTCTCAATTACCTTTCCGTTGTGTACCCTCATGATATAGAAATGCATGCCGTTGGAAGCTGTATTTATTTTTAAATGTCTTTTGAACATTCTCCTTTAAGCATTCTGTGCATTGGTATACGCCATCTTGAATGCTTGCATATCTAAAGAGATTTAGTCCACGTACTGACATTTCCGTTAATGTCAGTGCCTGATCATCCGGTGATTGATTTTTCCTCCTTATTCTTCGCCTTACTGTCTTCTGACCTGATGTTGGTGATGCTAATAATGAGCTATTGCTATTGCTACCTGGCGTCTCATTCGTCGACGTTAGAGACTTGAAATTTGCTATTATTATTGGCGATGTACTTATAGATCCATTATCATGTTTAATCCACCTTGCAATGTTCTGCATTTGATTTCTCTCGACACCAACTTCCGCTTCAATGGCATCATTTTTTAATTGAAAATTATTCGTTGCAGACGGTGAGTTATTGCTGGTATTTATTTGCGATGCAAAGCCACTAACTCTAATTTGTGGCTGCTGTGGAGTCATTTCCGTGACATTAATATCATTGATTTCCAATGGTTCCGTTTTAGGAATTAGTAGACCGTCTGAAAAGGAAATTATGAGATTTATCAAGGTGAGTTTATTGATTTTTTTTATGGTCGATAAATATTTGAATCAGGAAAGAGTTGCTGAATGGTTACAAATTAAGTTTTTCAAAAATGAACAAATTTTAAGGGTAATTTTTTGAATTTTTTAAAACCATACAAATTCAAATTCAAAACATTTGTACAGCTATGACAAATTCTTAGTCAAATTTCAAAGGTTTTCAAAAATTCAAAATTAACCGTTATAATTTCAAAGGTTTTGAATCTCAAAGCCCTAAAATAGATCAAAAATGAAGCATAAAGCATAGAAGTAAAAGACAAATGTATATTTTAGATACATTATAATTTGATGTAATGTATTAATGAATTTTTATTGAGATGAAAATTTTTCAATTTTTTTAAATAAAAGTTACAAAAATTTTTTAAGAATGAAATTTCATTTTTCCTCTCGTTTTTCACGCAAAATATAAAGAAAATAATAAAATAAAATGAACAAAAAAAACTAGGTAAAATAATAAAAACAACAACAATTTTTCTTTATTCATACCGCAATTTTGTGGGATTGAGATAAATTAAAAAAATCATAAATTTTGTATTATCTTTGTTTGTGTGAAAAATGCTTGCATTTATAATAATATAAAGAGTTCATTTATTAATCATTAATTGGGTTTTATTTTGATTTTTGGTTTAAGAAAGAATTTGTTTTTTTTTGTGTTTAATTAAATGAAAAAATACTAAGTTATGTAACCTGAAGAATTACCAACATGTTGGAATATCTCTAAACTAATGTGCTAATTATTATTTATTTTTACTCAGTTTTTTAACTTCCTCATAACACATTTTCTATTCATATTTCTCTTTTCACTTTTTTCTTTATCTGCTAAGCTAAAATTGCACTTTAAGTTAGTAAGTTATTCTAGTGTGAATAGTGTGTGAATATTTTCTTTGCATCCTTTATTTAAAATTATTATATATCTTTTTTTTTATTTATTCATTATATTTATCAACGTGCCCATAAATTAAATTACCTATAAAAATTGTAAGAAAAATCGTGAGGAGAAATTTTTACAAAATTAAATTAGAACTAAATTAAAAAAATCGAAAATGGAATGTTGGATTCAAATAAGAGATATTTGTTAATAGCCTGATGATGTTTGTCGTGCAGATGTTGCGGGAAATTTGTTTCAAAAATGATTTTTGTTTCCGACGGTTTTTAAAAATTTGAATTTTCAACAGTTTTTAAAAACTTGAATCTGAACCGAATCAAGGCACTGAAATTCAAACTTTTAAAAACGGTTAAAAATTCAAATTTCATAAATCGTTACAAAACCTTCGAACAATTTCAAACCCCAATTTCCAAATTGATTTTAAACAATTAACCTCCAATTTTAACAGTAAATGATTTTTTTAAATAATCAAGTGATTTCTAACAAACCTTGATCATTAAAAATGTGATATTCGATGAGCTAATGTAAGGAACATTAATAGTTTAAAATCAAATGACATTTGCTCGAAAAAGTTGGAACTGCATTTTTTGAAAATACAAGTTGTCCAACACCAAAAAAATTGTAGAATCCAACATCCGTAAACTAGAATAATCTTACTAAAATCAAACGACTAAGATAAGTAATTAGATTGTGCATTTTTAAGATGATCAATTTTCGTCAAAAAAAATATTTAAATTAATATAATTATTTTAATATAAACATAAAATAAAAATTGTGCATGTGTCACATAGGTATACATATACAATAAAACTTATAAAGTACACATGCAACTCTTTTTATGGGAAGATATGATTGATTTTCTTGATTTTTTTAATGCTTTCACCATCGCTGATTTACAATTTTGATGAAACATAAAAAAAAATTTGTTTTCATTAAAATTATTAATAAAATTAATTAATATTATCATCAGTTTTTTCTTAATTTTTGATTATTTTATAATATTGCAACAACTTTTGATTTTCATTAATTGATTTAAAAAAAATTCTGTTCCTCAATCCTTAATTAAAATATATTTCAAATCAATATAAGTAAACTTCTTCTTTTTTCATCATCAAAAAATCAATTATCATCTAATAGAACTCCTTCATTCAGCTTATTATTTGAACATACACTTACAACATAGTCCGCATATGATTCAAAATCGAAATTTATTATAAAACACTAATTAAATTAATTACTTCTTTTTTCTGTGAACTTGCTTTCTAAACGTATTATTAATGTTAATTAATTATTATGCATGAATCAGTTAAATTTGGATCAGACTTTAAAGTTAAATTTTTTAGTTTTTTTTCATCATCTTTTTTGCATACTTTTCATATTTTTTTGACACAATGTTATTGAATTAAGGCATCCTTCTTGTGAAATATTTAAGGCCTCAAGTTTTTCATTAATCTATGATATTATGCTGTATGTGTTTGTGTGTATGTATGTGCTTATGATAATGAAATTAATCTTTGTTTTAAATATATATTTTTAAAGTGCACATTACTCCTTATAAAACTATATTTTTTTAAAACAATTTCAATTTTTTTAGTACGGATTTAGATTTTTCTCATTATCTCTCAAGAATTTTACAATATGGGGTGATCATGTGCTTCATCTTTGCTCATTTTCTTCTTCATATCATTTTAACAGTTATAAAAAAATTCCAAAAATTCAATTTTCTGTCATATTTAAACACAATTAAATCATTTTCTTATTATTGCATCCAATAACTCATAATAAGCATTTTAGAGATCTTTAAATAGCTTTTAAAGCGGAAAATTCGCCAAATTTTCATAAAAATTCTTGTCTGACGTGAAATTAGCCGTCTTTTCAAATTCAAATTTTTAACTGTCATTTCCAATAAACATGTCAATAAAGCAGATGACACAACACAACCACCGCCAAAGAATGAAAGTTTTTTTTACTTATAGATTAAGAAAATTGTTGTACTTATAAAGCCATGTCAACGGGCTCTACCATGATCATTAAAAATATATGATTTTATATTAATATAAGACAAAAAAATACCCATTTTATGTTCTTTCCAAGCAATTAAAATTGCCGTAGAAAAAAAGGAATGATTGATTTATATAAAAAAAAATTTAGTCATAATCATCAATAAAATCATAAAACAAAAAATATGATACTTTTAGATCTCGTTGGGATTTGATTTTCTAGATTCATTTTTCATTTGAATTGAAGGTAGATTTAACTTTTTTTTTGTTTTGAAATCATAAATTATCATCATAAAGTATATGTATGAAGTGAAAAAAAATATAAAATTCTTTTGGACATGCGCATCACATAAAATTTCATTGACTGGTAGTTGATAAGGTGGGCGTTACAACTAGTGGTGGTTGAGATGCATCACTTTGTTCGTTCTGCTGCTGTTGATGTTCCAACTTGTGTATGATCTTGACATGCGCTGTCATGTTATCCTTTCGTGTAAACTCTTTAAAACAGAAAGGACATGGATACACTTTGACATTCCGTTTATGTGATGTCACGTAATGACGACAGAAGTTACTTATGTGAGTGTAGACGCGAGAACACACTTTGCAACGATATACATGATCAGCTTCTTTGGTACAAAAATCACGAACGGATCCTTCGGAATCATCAATTGCATATTTATTGGTTCGATTATCTTGAATCACCGGCTCCACTTTCATTTGTGGATCGTTTGGATTCGGTGATATTTGGGATGGTGTTGTGGGCATTAGTTGCTTAATTTGCTTAATTTTTATAAGATTCGATTGACTCATAGCTGAATTAAGAAGTAAATTATTTGAAAATAGATCAATGAATTCATTATTATTGATGCCGCTAAGAACATTTGGTAGTTGAATGTGTCCAGTACTCGTCTGAACCGATATTGGTTTCATTTCACCATTTTGCTGCTTCAATAGCTTTGCACGCTTATTTTGTTTTGGTAATGATTTTGTTATGACAAACGACGACGGCTGTCCACCAATAATTGGCGTTAGCTTAGGCAATTGCTGCTGCATTGCTAAAAGTTGCTGTTTCTTTTGTAATAAATGTGGCATGAGAACTTGTTGTTGCGTAAGACTGTTATTATTATTGCTCGTTCCATTCGCTTCCTGATTACTTGCAGAATTTCCGTTTTGTGGCGCAGGTGTTGTTGCATGCGGTGTATTCGAACTTGAATCCGTATCTGGATTATATTTAAATTCCATTGGTTCATCAAACTCATCTAACAGCAATTGTGGCTCAATCATCATTTGCTGATCATCGTCATCATCATCATCGGAATCAGCTTGCACATCTAAAAAATAATATTGAACAAAAAATAATGTTTTTAACTTTATTCAGGCAAAAAGAGTCAAATAGCTGTAGAACAAAAAAAAAATGCCAAATATGTCCCCGCAAGCATATAAGCAAGTTTAAAATTTCAATTGACTTATTGGCCTTTTTTTTCCCTCAAGCTATGACTCATCAATAAATATTGTAAAACTTTGCTTGATGTCTCATAATAGTGAAAAAATGGAATAATAAAAAAAGATACCCAGGAAACTGACTATTATTCTATCAAAGGAAAAGCTTTAGGGATTTTTTGAGCCATTTTTTGGTGACGCAATTGTCATTTTTAATCATTTTATATCACAATGTATATCACGTCATTTAATATCTTTTTTATAGTTTAAAGCGAATTTTTTAATTTATGAATATGAAAGAATTTAGTTGATTTATTATTTATAGGTGCTTAAACACGTTTCATGTTCACGTCGGCCAAAAATCCCTAAATTAAGCTCCCTTTCTATAATTCTCAATTTATTTTTTTTCTTCTTTACAATTTTTTCTTTAATTTAATTTTAAATTAAATTTAAAGGGCGAAGTCTAATTTTCTGGGATTTTTTTATTTATTCTCCTTATTTTCGATGTATTATGAACATCAGTGGGCAAAGTGGAAAACTCACCTGGAATTATCGGAATTCTTTTTTTAATTAAAAAAACCGACGTAAACAAAAAACTGTCTTTTTTTAAAAAATGAAACTGAAATCACATTTTCCACTTATTTAATATCAAGTTCTTTCAACTTTAAGCATAACTTTGATTTATCGATTAAGCAAAAAAAAGCAAATAATAATTTCGATATGTATCAAAAAATCCCTTTAGCTTTTCCTGATTCATATATTTTGTATTTCTTTGGAATAATAAAATTCTACAAGGTTCTTTGTGTGCAATGATCAATCCAATAGCTGCAAATCTTCTCATACAAAGGATTTTTTGAACACAAAAAATTTAACGGAAAAATTCAAAAAACTTGAATTAATTCCGGTATTTAATGTTCATATTCTTCGTACAAGCAGATATGCAGGCATTGTGTTAATCATTCTTAGAATTGACTGACAAAAAAACATCAATGGATGTGTCATGGGGCAATAAAGAATTTAAATGTATGACTCACCATTAGCTGAATCGTCCTTTTTTGACGCATTCGTCTCCTGAGTACTTCCATCATTTTGTCTCTTTTGCTGTGATCTCGAGTCCTATAAAAAAAATAAACATTCATTGAGTATAAATGTCGACTAGTCTTAATTAATTTAATATTTATGCAAATTTTACCTCATCTGTGTCATCCGGTCGCCGTCTACTGTCATTTTCTTCTGAATTTGTGTCATTTCCTGAATTTGAAAAGTTGTCCGTGATCATTTTTGCTTCCATTATATCTGGTGAGCCCTAAATATACACAAACATAATAATGTATTAGTTCCTACATTTTTATATATTTTAAGGTATGTGCAATAAAAGAACATTTTTTTTACCTGTAGCAAATTCTCTCTATAGTCATCATCATAATCATCCACATCATCACTACCGCTGAGTTTTCTAGGACGGCCCCTTTTTCTTTTCGGCATGGAGGTTCCAATTGGACTGCTTGTTTGCTGTGGTTGTGGTGTCTGTGACTGCGATTGCGATTGTTGCTGTTGCTGCTGTGAGATTTGTTGTTGTTGTTGTTGCTGCTGATGAACTTTTCTCTGTTGCTGCGCATAACTGTTATTATGCATTCGATTCTGTTGAGCTGATGTTAACGGTGTCTCGGTTTGATCACGACTTGATGGTTTCTCATCATTAACTTCTGTTAATCCTTTTATCCTTAGACTCTCAGCGACACGTAAAAATGCCGATAGACGTTCTTGATCAACAGATACTTCACCACGATACATAAAATCTAACAGACTCTTCATATCAGCAAATGGAACATCTCGTAAAATGACAATCGGATGTTTTTCAGGATGATTAACAAATAGTTGTTGGAAATATGGACTACATGCTGATAAAACCATCTGTGGGATTGAAAACAGACATTTATTATCGATTCCTTTCTCATACCCTTAACAGGAAAAAGGCTTTTGGCATTTCACCCTTTTGCTTTATCACTCGATTATTGATAAGACATTATCGTTAAAGTAAACATTCACACATAGCCTGTGAAATATTAATCAGCTATCGCATTTTTTGTGTTTTTTTTTTCAGACCTTATCAATGAAAGTAATGCGAGAAATCCACCCTCAAAAAAATATATATTCTATATCTGTGTATCCCTGACTGTCTATGTCTCCATGTGAAATATTTTTTTTAATAATAATAATAAATTAAACCTGATAGTGAGGAACACAACATTATGTGAACATTTATGTACAATGAACACTCCTTCTCACATTACTCGAATAACCGATTGTGGTTAAAAATGTGTGAATGATAAGACGTATGTGTTACTCAATTGTAGGAGCGAGGGAATCTGGTAGTCTGAAGGTATCAACCTCAGACTCAAAAAAAGAAGAAGTACTGATAAGAGAGAAATACATAAGAGAACATCGTCTTCTTCTTGATTCAGAAAAAAAAGGAAAGAAAAAGTCAGAAAACTGAACATAAAGATAATGAAAATATAATTTCGAAAAAAAGTTCAACTTGAGCGTTATTTCTAGTACATAACATAGAGACAAACATTAATATGTGTGGTAGATAAGAAATATGACATGAACTTCTTATATAAAACAAGTAGAAAATTACCACTCTCGTAGATTGAGTGCGATAATTTGTCCTGAATTCTTTATTTTTATCATGAATCGTGTTCGATAGGCACTGAGAATTTTTGTGATAAGGAATTTCAGGTTCTAGAATGGTGTTGGAAATTATTAAAGATTATTTCATCGTAAATTATTAAAAATTGTTCGGAGGAATCATGAATGAAATGGAATTCTGATTGTTATACTTAATTTTAATAAATTATTGAGATACTATTGAATGAGTTATTCTCAAACTGTGGAACGCGACACAATATTGTAAAGCAAACTATTAAGGAATCTCCAGATTAAGAGTTTTCTTAGAAAACCCATTAAAACATAGTTTTTTTTGGGAATTAAGTGTTGGTTTGTGTACCACGAACCAAGAAAAGGTTAAGAACCACATTAACAAAAGGATTTAGCTCTTATAAAGCTAAGGAACGGTTCCTTGTATTGAAACTTAGAACTTACTATGATAAAAACATTTGAAACTCATGGAGCACTCCTAGTTTTTTGGTTTACTTTAAATCCTACGAATTATTCCATTTGACAGGCTATAAAGGCCTAGAACTTAAACTAATTCAAGTTTTGACGAAAACTTCTATGGGGCCATTCACTTATTACGTAACGCTTTTAGGGGGAGGGGGGGGGGGGGTCTAAGATTTTGTTACGGTTCAAACAAGGAAATTTTTTTTTCGTACAAATTTTTTTACGAGGGGGGGGGGGGGTCTAAGAAGTCATTTTTTCGGGTTACGTAATAAGTGAACAGCCCCTATTCCTTATAAGCGCCTCTAGTACTTGATCTCACTTCTAGTATCTATATATACTTTTAGAACCTAGATGAACTCCTAGGCCTTTCCTTATATTCTGAAACACTAAGCTGGACCCTAGATTATAATAAACAATCGTCCCCTAACTACACTCCTTGACCTCCAATCACACATAATACCACATCTATAACACCACTTTAAAGTGAATGTAAAGCACATACAGCACGCCATAGCGTTTAAATATCTGTCAAAGTAAACAATAATCTACATACCTTATGAGCCTTGAGATACTGTCCATCGATGGCAAGTGTGACATCTGTGAATGTTTCAGCGTGTAGCAGTTGATCGAATACGGATAGAAGATTAGATTGGTGATTATTCCATCGTAGACAAAATCGTTGCGAAGCCATTTTATCTAATATACTTAAAAAGATTGATCCTTGTCTTTATAAATTACACAAAAACTTTTGTCAATGCCAAAAAATTGCAATAAAATATTTTTGATTTTCCGTTTCTTTTTATGAACTTCCTTTAAGACACTTTTATCACATTGTTAAATAAACTAAAAATGAGAAAAAAGAGAATGAAAAAAAAAATACAGAAATTAATAAAAGTGAATATTTTATCGTACACAAATTCTCGACAATTTCCACTTGGAGCACGTAAGTAGCAAAGAAAAAGGCTTTAGTAGAGAGAATGAGAGGAATGAAAAGAACTTGAATAAGTACAAAAATTTGTGCTGTTATCACAAAACTTCTACAACCATACACATTCACATGAAACAGGAAGATAACTTTTTCCACAATTACACAAGGGGTTAGCAACAGAAACAGGATCATTATTAGGGGGGACACTACTTGATGGGGAAATATTTACATTGAAGATTCAAATTTTTAATTGAATTTTGATTAATTTCATTTTTTGATTGGAGATTGAAAATTTTTTTCCCCATCCAGTAGTTCTCCCCCTGACAATCACTTGATGCCAATTCGACAAATTTCCTATTTAAGGCCAAAAAAATCCAACAAATAATTTAGCTTAACAATGACATTTATTTATTCATTTTATTTTCAGAATCAAGCCGTATGTGAAAAGAACAAAAAGGCACAAATCGACAGCCAACGCGCAAAATGTTATAAAAAAAGTTTACTTCATATACATCTCGCATACACAGCACACAAAAAAAAAACACGAGAACCTATTAGAAGAGAAGATATCCTACGCCATATTCGCGTTACGTCACAAAATAAATAATAAAAAAAAACTGAATATAATAAAAAGAATCTTAAGCAAATAGCAATAAAAGCGACTTATGAAGTGCCACAACTATTCAATTCCTCGAAACATTCAACACAGAAAATTTTCTCAAAAAAAAATCGAGACCTTTTTTCCCCACCCTTCCCTATTCTTTTTAATTCTGTTTTCTCACTTCTATAGCGATCACACAGTGCTTCATGTCCGCTCCTTCACATAAATGTGCTTCACAGCTACATTTGTGGATGTATTGAGTATCCATTGTAGTATCGTATTCTTACATTTTTTTTCGCATTTATTTATTTTCGCGTGTTGACTGTTTATGTGTGTTATCATTACCGCAGAAAAAAAATGAGCGATGTATACACAAAAGGAATCAATTCTATAGGCATCAATACATGCTTAGTCATTGTGCTGAGAGAAGAATACATGCGAGAGTGGGAAAGAAGTCAGAATTAAAGTTGTGTATAAAGTCATACACAGGCAGTTTTTATTAACAATTGTTGCGCTTTTTTTTCAGCGAACATTCCCCAAAAAAAGAGAATCTCATGTTCGTTGTTGTATGTCCGTACGAACATAGAAAAAAAAAGAAAAGAATTATCAATTTTTCTTATTTTTATTGTTATTGTTGTTGTTGCTGTTATTTCTTTCGTGTTTTATTCATCAAGTGCTTCCCCATGTATGATGTTAAGTCTTTTTTTTATAATATAGTGTAGAGAAGAACTGTATAACTCTTCTTAGTGAGTAGAAATTCTCAAATATTTTTTTCTCATCATTATTATTATCGTCTTAGAAGAATCATCGTACAAATACAGGCGAAGCTTTTTTTTTTATTTGCCTTCCATGCCTGAAAATGAACATCTCCTCTATCTATCCGACTTTTTATTCTTCTTTTCCATTTTTCGACGATCGTGTCCTTGAAAAACTTTATTTTCTCCATATATGAATGGGGGTCGTACAGAAATGACGGAAGTTGGGAAATTTAATTTTTTTTGCACCTTTAATCTTCTCGGCTATGAATTTTAAGGACCTTAAAAAATTATAATATCAAATAATTTGCATTCCAATAAAATAAAGGGTGTGAAACTGATGAACTGATATTTGATTAGTTCCACACCCCTGCATAATACAGGACGTCAAGCACAACTAACCCCACACAAAATTATATAGAAAAAATCTCGTTTTCGGGTCACATCGCCATAACCACGAACCATACATCGATATGGAACAGAGAAAAATAAATCATTTCAGGACGGATTTCCATGTTAGAATAAGCAAGCGAGAGAACCACAGAGGAGAAGAAAAAAAAATCAAGCGCAATTTGTGTTAGGAAATAAATGAGAATTACGTAATATCTAATTTTAAATGTCACCCTAAACCTATTGTTATTGTCATTTTTATTTACATCACTGCGAAAAAAAAAGTTTACATTTCATAAACCGGATAAAGGGAAAATTACAGGTCTGTGTAGTTTATGAAAGCGTGATCGGTTGCGAAAAAAAAAATCTAATGGATGTTATGAAAAGTCGACTCACTAATTCACTTGTAATGATTTGATCTTCAATGTATATGCTCGATTATTTGTGTATTTATTTATTTTTTATTTGTTATTCCGATAAAAAAAACTTATTTTGATTTTAATTTTCTCATAAAACACGCGTCGCGCACTTGAAATTTAGGAAATTCATTAAATATATCTGTTGTCTGTGAAAAATTCTTAAGCATATGTCTTCTTATTATTTTTATTTCTAATAGTATCGAATGTATATTAAGGAATTTTACTGCAAAAAATCACTATGAAGCAACAGCTTAAACTGAATGAAACTTCTCTATGTCAGTCACCACTAAAGCAATCGAGAAGAATATGGAATCACAAACACCAATAATTTCCTCTCCGCTCCTACTCACAATTAATATAGTATTATGTGAGTATAGTCAGTGTAAGTCAGTGTGGGTAAAATTAAAAAATGTTGAGCTTACAATGTTTCATATTGTTTTGTTATGTCTCTTTACTACTTTTGCAGAATTGAGCAAGCAGCGAATGAAAAAAAAACTTACAATATATTTCAACACGTACATAAGTGGGAAGACAAAAAAAAAACATAACAAATAAAGTAAAGAGAATGAAAAAAGAACAAAAAAAGTCAGATTTTTATGTCCTTAAAAATCGAGTTTATCTTCATAAATGCGCGCATATATGACGTGTATAATTTTACTTCTTCTTGATCTCGATTTGAAATAATAACCAATTGACGATGGATTGATGGCAGATAATTTGAATTTCAAATGTCTAACGGTCCTGACTTCTTTCTCTATTACACACTTTGCGGACGAGGATAACTAGTTTTCTTTTCTATACTTAATGATGGTTATCATAAATTAAACGAGTTTATGTGCATATGGGAGGGGATCGTTCGGATATGATGTCCAGCACTAAAGCTAGTCTGCAACTGGTTTCTACACTCGTTTTTTTGGACAGAAGTTATGCTCTCACAACTATAAAGTAGGAGACATAACTTACAAACAACCCCCAGCAAAGACATTGCTCATTATTTAAACAGGTATGTCTTGTTAATGCAATGTACACACATGTGTCATTAAGAACTATTCTACTTTTTTTTTCTGTGTCTCCTCTTCTTTCATTATTGTCGGCATATCCTTAATTCTTTTATATTTCTTCGTAGTCATTAAAATGCTCTGAGATTCTGAAACCCACATTTGTCCTTGAAATCACATCCGCGATCCTCGACTCTCGTTGTTTTTATGCTTGAGGGAATATTTGTGCATGAATGGTGAATGTTTAAATGACAGGGGTGTGGGTAGGAAGGAATATTGAGAGGGGATAGAATTTTGTTAAAAGCATGGGAAGCATTTCGATGCACGGTTTGGTGATCAATTGTAATTGAGGATAGTCAAGACTCCCTATAGCTATGCACAAGCCTCAAATCTGATTGAATTTTGAGTTGTTTGAGATGTATCAAATGTTATAGCTAGTTTACCGTTGATTCTCTTCAATCAATTAAAAATATTTTTTTATAGGCACTTAAAAATTCTTATCTATAAAAATTTTTGAAAAAAAAATATGAAATTTTTGAGAAGCTCATTAAACTTTAAATAAAAACATGACAAATTTTGCAATCAAAGCAATTCATTATCAAGAAGAGGAAGTGAATGATGTTTATGACATCGAAAATTAAAGTTTGACAAAAACCCATTGGGATGATTAATACACAAATGAATTTATTGCCCTACCCTAAACGAAACGATCCCAAGCCGAACAACCAAAAAATTCCTTTTTCCGAATGAAACACAAACAAGAGCATGGCGAAAAAGAAATAATAAACTTTCCGATCTGCTCAGTGTGATATGAAGAAGAAATGTTAACAAGACAATTTTTTTTATCTTTTTTTTCATTTCTTTTATTTTTAGCCTTATGAGAAGAATGAATACAGAAATTTTCATTTCGCCTGTTTCTCCTCTCACTTTAGAAAAAAAAATTAAATTTTTTTTTGTGTGTATCTCACATAGCAAGGCACAAGAAAAATCATCATCATACACCCTTCCTGAAGTCTAAAACAGCCACTTCTTCTTCTTCTTACTTCATCTCTTGGTTGCTTCTTCTTATACACATAAAATGAGATGTTTTTTCTTTTCTTTTCTTGCTTATTCGGCATCCATAGCCGTCTTTTTTTTCTGTGTTTTCTTCTTGGATGATGAAAAAAGAAAAGAAAAATACAGAAAACTGAAACTCTTAAAAAAAAATACGTAAATCGAGGACGAGATCGCATACAAAAACGAGTGAGAAAAGAGCAAAACTCGAAAGGAAAGAATAAGAAAAAAAATCATCATTTCGCGATTCCTCGACCGTTTTTTTTATATTCCTCGCAAAGATTTTTTTATATTATATTTTTTTATGAAAGTCAGTAAAGTGATCGGTGACGAAGAAAAAGAAAACCAGATTTTTTTTCATATGTATATATACGAAATGTGAATATATATTTTTAATTCTCAGATTCTTTAAGGACTGTTCTGCGTAGGGTGATTCATATGTTTCTGCTCACAAGATTTCTCTAGAATTCATTAACATTTTAAGAGCATATATGCTATACTTCTAGGGATTTTTTGTATTTCGCGATGTGAATAATTTATTTCCTCCGCTTATTTATCTATTAAAAAAATATTTTATTTCGCGGATGGAAGTGAAACATTATTATTGTTGATGTTATTACATTTTGCAATCTATACCCTATACCGTATATATTCTCTTTTTTTTCTCCATTATTACTGCAACAGTTAGGAGGGGTCAATCTTAAATGACGTCCCGCATTTACTCTACTAGCTACATTACCCTCCTAGTTTCTAAACAGCATAAGGACCCCCCATCATAAAATTCTATGATCAAGTGACGTCATTAGTTGCCGATCCCCCAAAAAGCTATTTCGCTAGTTCATTAAATCAGAGCACATTACATTTAAATTACAACAACTACCTATGGCTCGTAGCTAGCTGTGAGCATGTGAGAGTAAATAACGGAAGGATCGGAGCAGCGAAAAGAGGAAGTCTCTAATAAAAACAGAGAAAAAAGTCATAATTAACTGCGTTATGCTTCAAATCCCCCAACAAAATATGTTTTCAGTTCAGTTTCCCCATTCACAAGCGATTGTGTATTATTTTTTTTTCTATACACACAGTTTCTTTTTTTTCGAATGCTCAGGGGGGAAATGAAAAAAAGGCAGTAGAGAAAAGCAGCCCGAAACTGATTTTTTTTTGTAAAAGAGGTCAATGAACAACTCAGATTTTTTTTACAGCACGCAGCGAGAGAGAAAGAAGGAGGGAGAGGGAGAGCAATGAGAAGTCAACGATGTAAAGGAATTTATTTACATTTTTAATCCTTTACGAACTGATCGACGGAGAGAAATACAAAAAAAAATTCCAGACACACCCTGTTATACTTGTTGCAATCTAAACTCACCGAAAAAATTGTTCTTTTTTTATTCTTCTCGTTCCTTCTTCTTGCTTGTTGTTTATTTCACTTTGAATAATAATGATAATTATGCTTTGATTGTCATCAATTATCCTTAATGATTGTACAAAAAAAAAATATTCTTGACTTAATAATTTCAAAATTTTTTATAGATTTGATCGAGCGTAAATCTTCAAACTGCAGTGATCACATTTTTTTTATATCTCTTATTTCCTTTTCACTGTTTCCTTGATAAAGCAGCTTTTCACATTTTCATTCATTTCTCAAGAAGCACTTTCAGTCAACGAAAGTCACTTCGTTTTCCTTTCTATTTTTATTCTTAGAATTTTTCCTTCTTATTCACACTTTTTTTAAAATATTTTTTGTATTTCTTGTTGTTGTTGCTTCCAGAGTTTCCACCCACGTTTTTATGTATTTTGTACTTATTTTATATTTTAGTCTTTAACTCAATCGAACAATGGAATAAATTTTACTGTATAACAAAAATTAGAATATTAAATATAAGATTTATTTTATTTTTTTTGCGCAGCGCTTAAGTCTATTCTTTTTTTTAAATATCCTGATGCCCTTCACACAATGAAAACGGAGAGTGAGAGAAGTAAAAAAAAAATTAAATATTAAATAATTTTTTTTCTTTTTCTTTTCTAAGAGAGATATCAGGAAATATACGTCTGAACCGCACAAAGTTTAAATTATTTCTAAGTGATCGTCGAAAATTGTACAAAAGTATTTCCATATCGCGATATCCGTATGAATGTGTTGGTGGATGTGTATACATGCATACCCGCTCGCTCACTCCGCTCTCATGCCTTTTTTATTTAGTCGTGGGTGAGAGAGAAGATTGGTTACTTATAACATGATTTCAAGCATCTTTTCCATGTTATTATTTCCTATTTTTCTTCTTCTTTTACATTATCCCAGTCGTCAGCTATAGCATGAGAAACAATAGATTTCTATTTTTTTATTTCATGACTTCTTTTAGGGCATTGTATGTACATTCTTCCTATAAAATAGGCTCCACTCAACATGCACATACACGTATATAAGGGGGAAAATGTAGAATGAGAGAACTTAGTGATTTGATTGTCGTGGAATTTTCTGCTTAAGTAGTTTCTAGCTTTTCAATTAACTAACATCATGATAAATGAATTAAAGGGATTTTTTTTTTCTTCTCAATTCTCTTTCCTTCTTCCTCTCTCTTTCTCTCCCACCCAGTTGATCTATCCATTCATATCTATCTATCTATCTCCTTTCGTACTTAATAGATTTACCATATTTTTTTTGATGGTATTTTTCCAGCACTACAGTAAAATAACAATAACAAGAAGAATATCCATAATAATTGAAATAAAAAAAAAGAGTTTCTATTTTCCCTTTAATAACTTTTCACATTGGCGATGCCAGCATATTTAGATTATTTTATTTAGATTTGTTTTTGGGTAAGTTCTGTGCATTCCACCCATACCCATGCATCCCATATACATTTAAAAGAGTTATTTAATTTATAGAAAATAATGCAGAGGATGAAGTTGGCTTTTTATGCATCATATTGAGCTTAATATGGACATTTTATCGTATTTTGAAGATTTTTAACCAGTTTTTCTGAAGGAACGGCAATTTTGAATTTGAACTCAAACAGTTGAATTTGAGTTTTTTTTCCCCTCGCTCAGTTGATTTATTAGGGAACAGTCATGATTTCAGGGGGTTTGAATCAAGCCCATAGCAAGGAGATTTGATTGTCAATCACAGCCATCTTCAAAAGATCTTAAAATTGACAAATAAGCCAAAGTCAAACAGAGAAGGATTTGAACAGCTTTCAAGTCAACTCAAATCGACTTCGACCTCCATAAAATAAAATAATTTTCATGATTATTCACAATACTGCTAGCTGCTCATCGAAGCGAGACTGAAAAGTGATAGGATATACAATAAATTTGCTCTATGTACAAAAAAAAGCACACTAAAAATGGCTTAAAGTGTGCAAGACTATGGAATGGAAGAAAAAAAAATTGCAATGCACTTTAAACATCAAACATTTCCAGCACTCGATTTCAACGTGATTTGATATTGATATGGATGATCAACAAATGGTCATTCCTTGATTTCACTATTTGCCTTGCCACAGCTCTCTCAAAAAACCTGTGATTTTTTTTCACAACGTCGTTTTCAAATAGTTCGTAATTAACTTACGTAATTTCTCTCATGTATGTGCATCAATAGCAGTAAATAGATGCAATAAAAACAAGCAGCAGTAGCAGCAACAGCAGTTTATATGTGGGGTTACTAATAATTCAATTTGAAGTTTGTTAGGTTTTGATATCGTGCGCAGATCTCTCGTGAGATTTTTTTTTTCCCTCTGTTTTCAAAATGCATTGTTGACTTTACTTTTTATATCACAAACTGATGACGATGAATAATATCGCAAATGTGTTTGTGTCGCATGGCTCATTTTTATGTAATTTTTTTTTTCTCTTCTTTTGAATGTATGGAACGCCTAATAGATTTCATTCCTCTAAGTCACAACTCCAGCTATTATTTAGATGACATTTGGTAGAAGAAAAATTAACCTTATTAAAATGGAATTAAGCAACATGAAGAATATATTATACAATGAAATTCTCTTTTTTACATCAGTCTAACGTCATCAAATTACAATCTTGATTCTTTTTCTTAATATTATTATTACTTTTTTACAATTTTTTTTTCGTGCATGTTTTTTCATTAAGTCGATGCATTTATCCTCATTTCGTCTGTCAACTCTTTTTCTTCATTTAACTCAACTCTGCTAATATGATTAAGATTGTTCCGAAGTATTAGATTCATATTCTCAAGGACTGTCAAAGTAATACATTTAAATGTTTTGGCAATGCGTCATGACTTAAGGATTGAGTAAATATGAATTAGCAAACGAAGAGATTAAAACTTTTTAAATAACCTGAAACAAAGAATCGAACATTATCCGTAAATTGATATAATAGTTATTGTTATAGTCAATAGAGTTTCAGTAAAAGGAAGTTAAAGGTCAAAACCTTTTTAATTAAATTGAAGCAAATTTAAAGCTTTTCTTTTAAAATTCAAAAACAAAATTCTGAAGCAGTTCCTTTTCTAGGCTGTCCTTAAAAAAGGTCATGACTCATGAATTACTAAATTGAAATGACTCAGTTATTGACTAGCTTTAAAAAAACTTTTTGGGACTTTACGAAACAATTCAAATCTGCTTGTAATTTATTTTAACTCCTAAATTCAAATCTTTTAAGAATTAGATGTAAACTTAAAGAATTTTTAAAATAACAAGGAAGGATAAAGATCAGCTTTTCAGAATGATCCTATACAGAGTTGTCAGATACTTGTCTTTGGATGATGTCTAATTGTATTATTGTAGCTTTAAAAATTTCTATAGACATCACCTAAACAATTTGTGACAACTCTGATCCTAAATAGATAAGTTCAAAACAAATCAAAATAAGGTTTGAATTTATCAGAAAATTTTTGTAAATTCAAAACAATCAGCACTGCTCTTCATCGCAAAACACTCAAAATAAGAAGTCGATCTGAGCATGCTCATTAATCAGAGGATGTGGGAAACCATTTTATAGCTCATACCTACATCAAATAAATTGTTATAAGACATTGCAAAAGGAAATGGTTGAATCATGTAAATAGCACTGCATTATAGAAAATTTCCACTACCTTTCTCCTTCATTTAATAGTCAAGCAAAGTGAGGAATTCTTTACGAGACATAGATAATAAAATAAAAATGAAATTTATTGCAGAAAATCAAACTGCGACAGGGAAAAGAAGCAACATACGGCCTTAAAAAACAAAGTTATACATTCAAGCATTATTCTTCTCTTCATTCGCTATATGTAATTCATCAAATCTGTGGGAATGTCTCGGATAAATAGAGAAGAAAACAAAATCAACACACAAGCCAATGTAGAGGAAGAAAAAGTCTCTATTTCATGAGAAAATCACTCCATGAAGTGAATATCGCAATAAAATTATACATAAATGTAGAAGAAAAATAATAATAAAGTGAACCTCAATCAGTTCTTCTCGGACATGTAACCTCAATAATTCCTTGCCTTAGAAGACGAGTCGAGTCGACTGTATAGAATGGAGAGGAGAAAAATGCTTTAATGCTTAAAAGAGAAAAATTATGAATGCGATCGCATTATAATGAGTTTAAGTAAATCGAAGAACTCAAAAAGGAACATCCGTTATGGATGGATGAATGAAGGGGGTTTGATATGATAATGTGAGCTCATAAAATACATACAGACTTCAATATGTGTGTTTATTTCATGGAAAAAGGATGTAGTCAATGAATTTTAATTAAATTCAATCAACGAAAGCCCTTTTTGCCTTTCTCGTCAATTATCATAGTTATTTTATTGTAATGACTAAGTGTGTGTTAGGAAGAGAATTGAGCAGTTTTCAGGATGAATTGACAAAGAACAAAACGAAGAATTAATTTTTGTTTTTTTTTTTGAATGAAAAATCCTTTTGTTAATGATCGAGGAATTAAGGCGCATTTTTGAGGAAGCAATCAGCAATTTATTGAGAAATGATAAATTTTAATATTTAAAAATTTCCTGGAATTTAAATTTTTGAAATTTTGCACGTGTTTTTTGTTTACTATTTTAATACTTAATAATATTAGTTTTATCCTTCAAACTGGAATTCCTACATCATGTAATTGATCTTATCTCGTGACTAACACAATCTGACAGCCAAACAAAGTACAATTAATTTGCCTACATCCTAAAAATCCGCTAAATTAAACTTAAAGACTCAATCAACCCCTCCGTAAACTATTGAAATTTTTTTAAAATAGCAGATATGAAAAATGAATCATAAAACGAATTTCATTGATAGACGAATGATGCTTACATATGGGAAAAATCAAGAAATATTATTTAGGAATGATGATGGAAAACGAAGCATCAATGTCACTTGCTTTAATGAGGGATCTCCTCCACTAGAAGAAACAAAAAAATCTTCACAAACGCAAAGCGGACGGAAAAAGGAGAGAACAATTTTCTATTTTTGGATATTTTTGAACCCTTTTCGTGAACTCAATACGGAGAGGAACGGAAAAAAAAGATTGTTCTGAATCAAGAAAATTCACTTCTGATCTCACGCCGCGATCATTGAACGAAAAAATATCCTCTCGACACAATTCTATTTTTGATTTCAAGAAGAAAAAAAAGTGTGGTGTGCTCTTTGCAATGGTACCGCACTGCCGCATGCCTCATTCAATAGTTTTTCTTTTAAATTTTTCCTTCACATGCTGGTACGACGCTGTGTGTGTGTGGAGTGCCGATTTCTGACAACAATTAATATATTTTAGTACTCATTCGTAATGGGGGTAGAAGAAGTAATTTCTTGATGTGCTACAACTAAGTATCTTCATGAGGGTACAAAATCAATGACTCTGACAAATAATATTTATCGCTTGTGACTACCATATTATGTTTATGGAAATATGAGGGTGCCGTATGAAAATTGTTGCTTGTTGCTTGTTGCTTGCTTTGCCTTTATCATTTTAAAAACCAGGAATTTATTATTTTTCCTATGAGTAAGCCAGCATTTTAAGGAATCGAGCGATGATAACGAGTCGACATAATGTTTGTGAGTAAATGTATGATAACAAAGAAAATGAAATAAATGGAAGGGAGCAAGGAACTTTAAACTCGTTTGCTTTCTTTACAATTGTGAGTTCTTTATCATCCTTCCTTTGTGTGTTCGTTCAACAAAAACAAGTCTCATTTTGGATTCCTTATTTAAGTTCTCTTTTTCTATTTATTTAAATTCTTAGCTAGGGTGTAAGGATTTAAATAAGAATAATTGGAAGATCGATTTC